AGACTAGCTTCTAGATAGGCGTTATTAGCTTAATAAAGGTTATTACTAGTTTAGAACGTCGTACAAGACCAAATCTTATCTAGCTAGGGGACTAAGAGTAGGTAATAGTTATCTAAGGCATCTATGCTACTAGGTATGCTATTGTAACGGGCTGAACGCCCTTTGGATAGCTCCTCGATGGAATCTCGGTCAAGCAGCAGACGCCAGGTCTTACTCTGCAACCCGGCATCTGTGCGAGGCCTGAGCGGCGCCCAGACGACGCGCTCAGACACTCGGTGCAACCTTTCTCCGACAAGTAAATAAACACCACGCAAGTAGACTCTATAGCTCTCTATCGAATACAACCTCTTGTATACCTCGCGATTGCTCCCCTAGAGCGCAGCCCCTTACAGGACTAAAGGTAGTATTATATAGCAATAGCCCTTTTAGGTAATAGAACATATTAAAGACCTAGTAAAGCTTAGGCTATACTAATTAGCTATTTTAGATATATAATAAGAAAGTAATACTTATAAAAGTAGTAGTAAACACTTAGTAAATCTCTTTAGTAACTTATACGTTAAAAATTTACTAAACCTAGTAGTTATTAAGGTTAACTTATTTAATAATAATAAGCGCTATATGTAAGGGGCTCGACCCCGGAGGGTAGTCTTAAGCTCGGGAGCACGATCGGACAGGCCAAGGTAACAAGATTGTATTCGATAGAGAGCTAAGCTCTCGGCTACGTAGCTATCTATATACAATGCTGGTTGCTAGGGTAACAATCGGGCTAGGCAGGTGGAGTAAACGAGGTCGTAGACGAGTATGGGAGGCGAAAGGCGTTTAGCCCGTTACACTATAGCTTAAATAACACCTAGCGTTATTTAAGTAAGCAACTAATAAGCAACATCAAAGATCTAAGTAGTTGCCTACTTAATAGTATTATTAACTTTACTATTTATATAGAAATATAAGGCGTTAACTTAGCTATTAGCCTATATTCTATAATTAGCTATTATATAAAAAGACTTAAGAAAGTAACTATAATAAGAGAAAAGTTAAAGCTAAAGGGATAGAGGAAATAAGCAGTAGGTAGAGGAAGAAGAGTATTTATGCTCGCTAGACAGCGTTTGCTATATAGCACTATTGCCTAACTCTCTCTTACCTTTACTATTTACCTTTACCTTAATTATATAAGACGCTAAATATATAATAGTAAATAAATAAAGAAAAAAGAAAAGAAGACTAAGAAATAGGCACGTGATATTAGATCAGGTGAAGAAGGGGAGTATTATAAAGGGCTACGCTAGAGAGGTATAACTTATAGGTTATATAGTAGTAAATTATATAACTTTAGTTACGTAACTAAATAACGTAGTTAGATATATATAAATAAGCTTAAGTAAGAAAGAAAACTAAAGGTCTAAGCGTTTATATAAGTAATAACTATAAAAGGAGGGCCCTCTAGATAGTTCTTTTCTATATCTTTCTTCTTCTATACAATAGGTGAATGCTGTAATGGGCGGGCCCAACGGGCCGAGCGTACGACTACTTACGCCATCCATAGCCAAAAAGGCAGTAACAAGACTTCAAGCTTCTTGAAGTCTAGGTAGTCGTATAGATATACTCGATCACACACACTTTAGGCGTAGCCTCTTACAAATGCATACTCGTTAGTTAGGCCTCTCTCGCCTATAACAATTTTTTCTATTACGTTTTTTTACTATCACCCATCTGTACTATACTTTAAGTCACATATAATACTAGATCGGGGGAAAAACATCAACATGAACATGATGCAATGCAAGGGTATACAGACGCGAACGAACAAACAAACAAACAAACATTAGATCCCGAAATTTTCAAAACAAAACAAAAAGCAAACAGTTTGTTGCTCAAGCTGGCTCACATAGCGTGATTAGGCAACTGAGATTGTCTGGATCGCCACCACGTCTTCTCCACATCACTCTCTCTCAGCACCGCCTCTGACGTTCTCTCCGTAGGCGTACTTCTCGCGCTCCCACTGCCCCTCGCAATGATGACTGAATTTCTAAACGCAGGCTCCGCATCATGCGCGCTGTGCGGCGAAGTCGCACCCGCAATACCGCCTCTGTTGCGCCACTGGCTTGCCTGGAACTCATATACATCGTCCTTCTCGCCCGCCAGCTCCTCGAGCCTTCGGCGCTTGGTCTCGGGGACCAGGAGGCTCGTCAGCATGCCGAGGAACATGAAGAGAGCGAAAATCTGCATGACGCCGTGGATCCACGGCGTGGGGTTCTCCCGGGTCGCGTTGCGCTTGATCATGGGAGCGAAGAAGATCTGCGCAAAGACGGCGCCCAGCTTGCCCATTCCGGCGCTGAAGCCGTGGCTCGTGGAGCGCACGCGCGTGGGGAAGATTTCCGCAGGCGTGATGAAGGTGGTGGCGTTGGGGCCAAAGTTGAAGAAGAACTGGGCGAGCACGTAGAGCGCTAGCAGGTCTTTCTTTGTGAGGTTCTGCCAGGCGAAACCAAGGACGCAGAAGATGATGGTGAGGATGGCGAACCCGCCGACTTGGATGGTTTTGCGTCCCAGCTTGTCGACGGTGAAGACGGTGAGCCAGTAGCCCGGCAGCGCGCCTGCGCAGATGAGCACGATTTGGCCCGTGGCTGCGTTGCGCAGATACTGGTAGAGATTGTCCCGTCCTCCGAATCCCATTGTCGAGGTGAGAGACGCGGAGTTGAATCCTAGGCTGTAAAAAGCGAGGTCGAGGAAGCTGGGGGTAGTTAGCAGCATGCCAGAAGTGAGTGAAGACGAAGACATACAACCAAGAAATTGAAGTGCTAAAGAGTCTGATAGCCTGGCGCTTCTGGGAAAAGAAGCGCAGCACTTCCATGACTGACGGTCGCGGCGTCTTGTACTTGGCCATCTCGCGGCGAGCCGTGGCCTGAGTAACGGGGTTGACCTCATTTCCTTCCTTGCCGTAACGGTACTTTCTTGCATCGACCGCAGCCTTCTCGACATCGTACAGCACATCGAATGTATATCTTGGTGTCTCTGGAACCGTGAGCCGGTAGTAAAGTGCAAACCATCCAGGAACGCCGCCGAATGCGATGATGATGCGCCACATCTTGTCGACATGCTTGGCACAGTCCCCTACGCAGTCGCCAACATCTGCTACCGTGACTAGATGTTCTTTGTAAATGACGACGACTATGAGTGTTATCAACGCAGAAGCCAGCTGGCCCAGGCCTTGCATCGCGAAGACGGCGGCTATTATGCCTCCTCGGTAACGCGTACTGGAAAACTCTGCTGTGATGACAGCACTTAGGGGGTCTGATGTGAATGTTAGTCATGTCCGAGAAGAATCCGCGAGAGAGTGTCGTCTAGAGACTGTATAATCTGAATTCTCTGGATCTGTATTCCGAAGGCGGGGAGAGATGGAAGAAAATGGCCGGAGATTGACTTACAGTCGCCACCAACACCGATGCCCATTACCACGCGATAGAAAATTAAAACGCCGACGACAGACAGAGTTGCAGACTCGCCGCATAGTGCCTGTGCGAGGGTCGTTGTGATGATGATCATCAGTTCTACACCATACATCCTCTTGCGTCCAAGACGGTCGCCCAAGTATCCGAAGATGCACTGGCCAAAGATTGCACCAGCCGACGTGGCAACCTTGATGGCTGTGTCGGCATTATAAGGCATGACACCTTTGTGCTGTTCATCCTGCCAATATACTATGCCCAGCAATATGACGGCTAGGTTGATGGCAAACAGCTGTAGATATCATTAGTCCGCTCTTAGCCTTGTCGGATTTGCTTTGGACTTACACTGTAAGCGTCGGTAAAGAAACCTATTCCCGTGACGACAGCAAGGCGTATGTGATACCATCCAAAAGGTGCTTTGTCGACCTCAGCGAGGGCCATGCGCCGCCGCTCGTTCGGGTCTGTGATGTGAGTCTAGTAGCTTTGTCAATAAAATGGCGGCATGAGCTGGGTCTGATGGGCGCATACGTAGACACCCTGAACATCGTGGTAGGCTGCGTTGCCAACGCGCCCAAAGGACGGCATGAGTGGCAACCCAGACAAATGTTGTCGTGGACAGTTGCTCTTTGCAATAAAAGTAAGTATACTTGTTGTAAGTATACTTAAGCTCAGTGAATAGGTTGTGTCAGGCTGACCGCTTCGGTGTATATGGAAGTAATCCGGCCGTGCTCGGAGCGAGCTGCCCACCAGGGAGTAATGCGACGTGGTATAAGATCGTCGACGAAGTGCGATGGCAGGGCCGACTTGATGTTACGAACGATAGGTCTATGCCGAGAATGCCCGCACAAATGGGCAAGGGACGGGATGCCATGCACATCGACATCAATTGGTGCACAACCCCAAGCGGGCTGCTGCAGATGCGACAGAAGGCATTGCAGTGGGGCTTGGCAGTGAATGTCGCGTGGGTAGCCTGACAGGAGTAACAGCACCAACAAAGGTGCGCACGAGTTCACGTTGTCGCCTGTCATTGGCCGTGCTCTTCGGTACTTGGAGACGACCCCCCATGCCAGCCTAGATACCGACGGCACGCCCCGTCGCCCTGTTGGTCAACAGAGCGTCTGGATGACTTGAGCCAATATTCAGCTGAAAGATGCCCCTTTGGCTGTATGACATGCTCCATGGTGCCCTGCACTCTGGGCGGGCGGCTGTCTCGATCGCATGGTATGCATGATCAGTGAGGATTGCTATCTCCGCGCGGGGGTCAGCATTCTTCTGCCTTGCACTGAGTCGTCATCTGCCGAGCCGTCCAGCCGTCCTGATTTGTGCCTGACCACATGCTTTGGGAAACCAACGGACGGCGTCCTGGACTCTACCATGCTCGCAACGTGCAAGATTAAATGTCTGTGCACAGAGACCAGGTACAGTTCGGGCCTCGTGCAAGCGGCGCTTAGCACCCAAAGGAGACAATTCCAACGGCTTTAAACAACACACACGGTGCGCAGCCTGGCAGATAGGGCAAGTAGAAAGCCTGTCGAGAGCATCTACGCGAGCTGGATTAGTACAGCGCCCGAACCGTGGGTGGGCCATGGCTAGGGATTTCTCACATCGCGTGCCCAACTGTGTCCGCGCGTCAGAGATATAACACAAACTTCTTGTTCGGCGTATAATTGCTGGTGATATTGTCAGCCCTACGTCTCATACACCAAGTGCCGTCTCATCAAGTCTGGATACCTGCGTACATACGCTCGGGAGTAGCGGAATGCCGACCCGCACAAGGGTCTGCTTTGTTTCAGCACATTTGCAAATCTATACTCAATCCATACTCAATACAAAGTATATTTGTAGAGATAGCATGCTCGAGAGAAAGAGCTGATGCGACCGGATGACGGAATCGACGCAACCGAATAGCCAAGTCGACGCAGGTAGTCGGGTACAGTACTGACTGTATGTTTGGTGGCTACACTCTGTTCCTCTTCCGAAGCTTCAGTTTGACCAAGTCTGACTTGCAGGCAATAACAACTCCAGAAGCGGATGTTCTGAAATACACTCTTCACATCATTTATGTACTCTGCATAAGCTATGCGGAGGACATAGGCCGTATGAAAATACCGTCGTTCAGTCTTGTTGGAATGGCTGAATGTATTGCGGCGTCGGGGTGGGAGTAAGAAATCGAGAATCGAATAATTCAATTAGTGCGCCTCTGAACGCGAGGATTTGGTTGATCTTCAACGCAAAATAGTCGGTGCTTGTTGGTGTTGGTGTTTTCCTCCTTGCTCACTCAGGCTGCTCGCTGCTCGCGCTCCAGAACAAACACGCGCTAAACCAAAACAGACTAGTCTCACACAATGCTCGAAATTCGCTACCCGAGACTTCTCCAAATCGCACGACAATTCGCGACAACACCACCCTTCGATACTAACAACAGCGTCACAAGGTGTGTTCTTTTGCCATACTGCTGCCGGGACCCCATTTACTGATAATTATTGTGCATAGTCCCCAGCCAAAATGAGTACGCCGCGCTCCCACTTGCCCGTTCGATCTCGAGCTTGGAGACTGACTACGATATAGCGAAGGGTACCTCCAGTTTCGGAAAGCGCCACAACAAGACGCACACGCTCTGCAGGCGTTGCGGTACGTAGTCTCTTCCTGGGGAATGGCAACTGGAACATGCAATGGCTTGGGTTGAAGCTTGTTGCGAAGCGGCCCGGCGATATAGCAACAGGGACTGACAGAAAACCTACAGGTCGCCGATCCCTTCACATCCAGAAGCATACCTGCGCCTCATGCGGCTACCCTGCTGCTAAGACCCGCAAGTGTACGTCTACCTGGCACCGCGGAACGCGCGCATACCGAATCCAGCATGAAATTAACACACGACAGACAACTGGGGCGAGAAGGCCAAGCGAAGAAAGACCACCGGTACCGGCCGCATGCGATACCTCAAGACCGTCAACCGCAAGTTCAGCAACGGATTCCAAACCGGTACCCCCAAGGGTGCCAAGGGCCCCACCGTCTCCTCGTAAACGAACCGACCATGAAGGCGTGAGCTGCGGAGGAGTAGAGGCGCGATGAAGGCCATTCGGAACGGGTGCATGATCGTGAAGCGGGGTTCTTATACAGGCAAATGGTATTGCTCGGCATGGGGCGTTCTGTCGTCCCTCTCCCGGTTGCTTGTCCATCCTACATGACGAATGGGGGCGGCATCACCGTTTGAGCGTATAGCTCTGGGAGGCATAACTACGGAAAATTTTCATCATGTTCTCTCGAAATGAACTCTCGGAATGAAAGCATGAATCAAGCCAAAACAGCTGTGCCAGAACCTGCTGCGGTCATACCGTTTCGCCGAGTGACTGGGGAACATGCAGAAAGCCACCCTCCCAAAGGGCCAACAATGATGTATTTGCACGACTGGCGAAAACCAAATAAGATTACGCTTTGCACCTGGCAGCGCAAGGGTATGGCACGCACTGACCAACACTGACAACAAAGGTGACCAACATGAGAAATGCACATCGACTCCCAATGGGCTCGGGCACACGCTCAGAACCACCGTCTTTCCTCGAGTTTCTTCCACCATCTGCCTGACTCCCCTTCCTCTCTTGGTCCAACAAACTCCAGCACCTGATCGCCCACGCCGACTCTAATGTCTAGATCAAAAATGTCGCTTGCACATTCCCTCTCTTGCCGCACACCCAGACAGAAACTTGCCCTCACTCTAACACCGCCTTTTCTCTCCTTTGCCAGCGGGCTCAAGTAGGGCCCAATGTCCCTCGCGACGCGATATGCCAATGCTGACGGCGAGAACTCGGTCTTGAGCGCCACGGCCCAGCGGTTGAAGTCCTGCGGCCTGGGCGCAACACGGGCGTTACCGAAGTTGGGAAAGTGGCCTGGGTCAACGGGCTGGTCATGGGTAGGTGAAGCCGGGGGCGTTACGACCGTCAGGGCCGTCGACGAGGGAGACCGTGTGTCGAGCCAAGACTGAATGATTTCCGGGTCGCGGTACGAGCCATCGTACCATGTCAGGAGCCAGAAGGAGAGGACAAGCTGTTTGAGGTTGTCGTAGGAGCGCAGACCCATGAGCAACGGATTGGTAATGGGCGTCGCGTGCGAGAGGATCGGGCAGCCGTTGTAGCCGCAGATTTTCAGCTCTTCAACTGTAGACGCGTGGTGCAGCGCAATGGTTTGCAGGAGAGGTGCTTGCGGTGGCCAGCCGTACTCGGGCTCAAAGGTAAAGTCGAGCGGCATAGGGAAGCCTCGCCGGTACGCGGCTAGAATGCCTTCTATATCTTCGTCGTCGAGCGCATAGGAAATGTCTAGGCCGGTTTGGCCTGGGTCGACGGCTTTCAGTTGGTGTCCGCCGGCGCCCCATGTGTTGCCTGCTGGAAAGGATGCTCCTATCATGACAATCTTCTTTAGCGGGCACCAGTGCAGGGCTCGGATCAACTCGCGCTTTTCATCGCGCGGGATGCCGCCTTCTAACTTGATCTGCTCTACTTTGCGCATGTGAGGAGCAAACTCTGCGATGAATCTTCTCCGGCGCGTGCGCTCTTGCAACTCTTCAGTGGTCCGCGATTCGTCGGTAACTGGCTCTCCGCGTGGCACATGCTGCGCGTCGATGCGCAGATCGGTGAGCACCATGGCCAGATGTGCGACCAGCCTCTGGGACCGAGCCTGGACATGTACAGACGGCTTGACGTGGCTATAGACCTTGTCTATAGGCCAGGCCAGACATTGGATCTTTGGGTGTGCCTCGAGGAATTCTACAAACGTGTCTTCTAAAAGATAGACGCTATCGGGAAGTCTTGTGAGTGGCAGCACTGCATTCCGAATCTGCAATGCGCGGAGATGTGGAAATCGCAGTTTACTAAGCGCATGGAGAAAATGCTCAGAGTTGGCGGGGGTTATCTCTGAACGGCGCCAGTGCACCCAGTCTAGATTCAGACTTGTAAGCGTAGAGGCCGAGCATGCGATCAGCCACTCGAGCGGAGGCGTGACATCAGGCGCATTTCGCCCAAACGTTGTGGGCTCGAAATCCACCGGATTTGCATCAACGTAATCTCTAATATCGGCAAGTTCCTCCCACATGACAGCATCAAAAGCTGTGCCCTTTTCAATCAGCTCTTCCGCCGAGGGACGAGGCCATATTGCAGAGAGTCGATATCCGTCGTCGCAAAAATCGACGGTAGTTTGGACAAACCCACCGGCACCATTGTACATATCAAGTCTCCGACCGCCTCTTGCAAGTTTGAATTCCTTGGGTTTCAAGCGTCGCCGTTGTACCGGGTCAAACATTTCGTTCCCAAGCCTGCGTAGCCGGATGCTTTCGAGGCCGGTTGCCTTGCTCGGCAGAAGCCAGTATAAAGCATCCTTTTCGAAACAGCAGCACTCGAGCCAGAGCTTGCGAAGCGGCACGCTGCGTGGTCGGTTTCCGTCGAGAAAGCCAGCAAGGAGTGCATTTGTCAGTTTCCAATGCCCATATATTATCCGCAGTGTATGCACATTGACCAAGTTACGTATGGCTAGTTTGAGGAGCACATGAATTCGATTGTCTTGCGAGAGATTGTCGGCGTCGAAGTGCATTCGCGGAAGCGCACTGAAGATATTCGGGGTAGGCAAATGGCAGCGATGTATGAGAACTTGGACTTTGGAGGCGATGGTTGGATTCCTGTACACACATGAGCAAAGGAACTGCGCCTCTTGGGCCATACCCACGTCGCCAGTATGTACAGCTTCTGGACAATTGGTGTGTCGTCATGCTCATCGGATTCGCCACGCCCTCGCTCGCCCCAAACTTGTTCCCAGCCTTCGTTCACGTGTAGCTTCCATTGGTCGGCTAGGCATACCTTCTGCCATAGGGCGTCGGTCGCATGGTGGTGCAGTGTCTGAGAGACGAGGGCGACGTTCCTCTGCGTGGGTGTATCGAGATAGGCGACGATGAGGCGGAGCAGTTCGCTGGGCAGTGATTGGAGCTTCCGAGCGTGTTAGCAAGGCTCCCGATATTGGCGACTGAAACTAGGAACTGTAGGCATCCGCATCGTGTGGGGATAGGATGCATGCGGTATCGGTATCAACTAGGCTCGAGTCCTGGTAAGTAGGGTACATACAGAAAGTGGACGATCTGCGGCGCCGCGTGTCATGCCCGCCCTTCCAGCCTCGTCCAAGGGCGCAGTAGACATGATTAGGAAGCGCGCTCAAACGCGCATTTCAGGACATGGATATTAGGGTGCTTGATCATGGAAAACCCGGTGTTTGGAGTCTTCTGGCGTGTGAATTCCTAAAGCCTGGGCGACAAGGCCTCGACGCCATCGGTGGGGTCTGGGCCCCGCCTCGCTCCTCCTCTTCGTTCCTTCCCGCGTGCGCACGTAGCGTACAACACCATCCTCGACACATGTCACTCACTTCTCCCCATGGGCTGTGCTGAACACCGGCCCTTCATTTCCGAACCCCTTAAAGTCTAGCAGCATGGGCCAAATGCAATATGTCTGGGCGACGCCGTTTCGCGAGTGGTAGACACACCAAGACTCCGTTGCGCTGCGTATATCCAAGAGTACGAGCGTTGAATCGTCAGCCCGTTGCGACCCCAAGATACACTCTGTACTGGTTTCAAAGCCGTCTCATTGCGGTTGTTTTTCTTGCTTTCTTTTTCAAGGGCAGCGCAAGAGACAGAAATGGTGGCCGTTGTCGCCATGTCTTGCTTCCGTAACAGCACCCCAACGAGCTTACCCAAGTCAGCCGTCGCTGCAGTACAGCCAGGCATTCTAATAATGGTATACTTGAATGCAGTCATCTTTTAAGCATGGCTACATGATTTCACATGCTAACCTTGGAACTAGAAGGCTCTGGATTTATGGATCTAAGACATCTCGCTATTCGTGTAGGAAGGCTTTGCATGTCTGTATCGGATCATTCTGACTCGTATTTTTATTCTAGTCATGGCCTCAGCTGAGATGATTTTCGACCTGAATCGACTGGGTATGACAGTATTTCCATCTCTACATCCTATCAGGCATTGTGTCCTTGACATCCTTGGAGAATCTCACTGTTCCCCAGGTTGTAGATACCTCGAAACTAGACATGTCTGAAAACTATCGCGTCCTGCAACGAAAACACCAGTTTTTGCTCGGGTCCATGTTATGCTGTCCGCCTACCGCCTACTAGCAATGACACGCTTGTTTTTGCCAATTCAGTTGTGTGATTTAAAGTCCGAACACACGGTGTGACGACAAAAAGTCTCACTGATTACGCGTCAAGCATGAGGGGCTGGCAGTAGCCTGCCTAACGCAATAGATTGGTGGAAACAGTATGGCTCGATCTGCGAATTCGCTAGCGAAGAGCCAAAAGGCACGAATAAAGTTAAGGTCACCTGCTGTAGCCACCAAGATTTGGTAGTGATCATTTCCATGAGAGAGCAATATCACGAACCCCCAAGATCGTCATATTTGGGTCGTCGCTAGGGCGTGGACGACAAGAAAGATGAACCAATATTCATGTCAGCAGCGAAACCAAGAACATGGCGGTATTGTCACCAAGACACGGGAAAGACGCAGGAACATACATCCAGGGCCCGAGCGATGCGTCACTGTCCATTTTATGGTTCTAGGGTACGTATGATATTTGGAAGATGCTTATGCATATGTCCCAAATCCGCATGGCAAACACGAAAACACGCTGTTTCAAATGCTGTGGCACACCCTAGGCAAAGTAAATGGGAATACAGTCACACGGCAGGAAAAGCAATTACCGTGCATGGCACGAATTTAGAGGCAAAAGGAGCCAAACAAGGCCCTTAAATGGCTCAATTCGGGATAAGCAACATGCTGTACGTTGAAAGATCTTATCGGCTGTACCAAGCTCACCATAAGCCAGGCTGTGTTCAGAAAATGCTCTCAATGAAAAGGCTGGGTCGAAACGGAGACCACAACTGGAACCAAGCAGTTGGATATGCGTCCTGGAAGTGTGGATCATCATGCGCCAACTGGTCGAGCATCGATGTGATCAGTTTCATGGTACCTACTCGTCATATCTGCACAGTACCGCGCAGTACCGCCGCTCCGGACCAGACCCAATCGCCAGATAGGGGATTGCTGAAATCTCCGAAAAGCGAACACTAAATAGCTGATACGTTGACGCTCAACCGTTCAACTGCAGCCTCTATTGTGCTTGTTGGTGTCTGCGCACGTGACGAGCTCTGTGAGCTGCACTGCTTAGCTCAACAACTTTGTTGAGTTGACCGCCCGGATGGACACGCTTAGGATTTGTGCTCGTCTGTTTGCGTGTCAACAGCAGAAACACAAGCAATCGCCCTGGGAAGGGGCACAATGATGCAAGGAACATGCCATTCACGTGTCTTGCTTTTTGGGGGGCCTTGATGCACAGATATCCGCGTTTGAGGGCGGGCACACGGAATTGTCCACGCCCCGACATAGACCCAGCCACAAAGCTGGCACATGGCACAAAGATCCAACTAATGCGGGGCAGACGATGCAAAGCAATGCAAAACTGGAGGTCAAACTGAGCGCTGTACATTGCTGAAAAGAAAAGGCCTAGATTATCGAGTGCCGGTTGACAGCAGCAGGAGCTGACCAGGGGCGATTGTTCAGCTAGCCAACGAAGCAGGTACCAGCAAGTGCAGTCATTTCCACTGGAAGATGGGCGTCTAGAACCGTGGGCTATTGTTTCACGACGAGATACGAGGCGTCGACTGGAGACCTGATGATATGAATGAGGACTTTTCGGGACGTGTGCTGAATCACCCTAGCGTTTGAGCTCGGTATTTCCGACATGAGTGACATCGGCGTGAAGGAGTTTGGAATGGCCGACCAGCTCAAGGCGTATTGTTGCTTCTGTTGGGCAACATGATGGCCAGGGCAGGCTCAGGGCCCAGAGCCCAGAGCCCAGAGCCCAGAGCCCAAGACTTGGTGGGGATGACGGCACGGCAGAGCAGAGCAGCGCCGAGCAAAGCAGAGCAGCTACGTGGCGAAGCGAGGCAAGGGGAAGGCTGAGCAAAAGGGCGAGCAGCATGTTGGGTGCAGACACGAGCTTCGGACATGGACGTCGGCTCTCCACACGCAACTGATGGGATGGGGGTTGACGGCTAGCGCGACAGGCAGGGATTGGCCTTGCTGGCGGCGGATCGGCGTCACCCTGCCGGCTGATCATGGCGCGCTGGTGGCAGTCGAGCCCGAAATAGATTAGCCGCAGAGGCTGGAGGACCGACCCGCACGACGTCCACTCACCACGACCGCCATCAATAACCATGGTTTTGGCGCGCAACAGCAGCAGACGGCTACGACGCCTATCTGCTGCTACGCTTGCTCTTTCGGGAGGTGTGGGTGCGCCTCTGAACTCAGCTTGCATTCGCCTGCGTCTGCCGGCGCTTGTCTCACCGGCCTTGGGACCATGGCAATTCACCAACGCTGACTACCTTCCGGGGTCAGGCCCTCAGCACACCACCGCCTCTGCACCGAGACACACCCAAGGCGGTTCTCCAGCCTCAATCGCTCACGGCGAGTCAGTCGGCTTGCCTACCAGCACATGGATTGACGCCCAGCACCGACAACAGTGCATGGACTAAGAACAGCAACCTACAACGATCGTCGTGGCGCTTGCCTGGGGCAGCCACTTATCAGCCCGATTCATGGCGCTTGGCCATATACGGATACGCACGCTTTTGCGCCAGATACCGATTCCAAGATTCAGCGCCGCCAGAAAACCGCTGGTCCTTGCGGACCACTGAGGACCAAGCGGAGGCATTGATTGCACCCAGGGCCCTTATTATGTTGAAGGTTGTGATGCACCGTCTCGGCTCTGACACGCAGCATCCTGCGGCTGCGCACGGGGGGTCGGCTTTGAAACCCCCCTACCTGGTAAAGAAAGATTGACACCGACAGGCTGACTGTTCCGGGCTGTACACTACCTACTAGAAGCCCCGCTGCTTGTATATGTAGTACGCCATGCACCCACATTCCCCTTGAAAGGCTGCACCTCTTTTCGTGACCCCATATTCACGCAATCATCCATCTGGTACCGGTCGCTTTTGTTTGCATCGGCTCGCCAGCATGGCTTCCCCTTCACTCGTGCTGGCACTTGTCACACTATGTGCATATGCACTGTACAAGTTCTGGGCCTCATCTCGCAGCAATAAAATCCCCAAAGGCCTGAAGCCCCTGCCGGGCCCAAAAGGTACGAACACCACCCGCTTATGGGACCTAACCCATTGCCTTACCGTTGGACCGCGCGTTCAACAAAAGCAACCACATAGGCTAACCTGTACCGATTAGGCTACCCAATCATTGGTGTCGTACCTGAAGTTCCTGAGAAGAATGGTTTTATCAAGTTTGCCGACTGGGGCAAGGAGTATGGCCCCATCTACCAATGTGATCTCGCTGGACACAACCACGTCTGGGTATTGACGGACCAAATCGCAAAGGACCTGTTATCCAAGAAGGCTGCCATCTACTCTGACCGACCCCACATTCCCTCTCTGATCTCCGACAACCGCTCGAGCGCGCAGTACCTTCCATTGCTCAGCCGAAATGGTATGTGGCCATGATTGGAAAATTTGGTCATGGTTTTCTAACGCTGTGCAGATGGTCACACCCGCCAGAGGAAGTTTGCCAACATCATCATGCGCGAGTCGGAAAAGGCCTCTTTTCACGGATACCCTGCGCTCGAGGCCAAGCGTATGCTTGCAGAGCTTCTCGACGAACCGGACCAGTACAACCACATCATGGAATCCTTCATCTCACGTGTCACTTGCCGTCTTGCTTGGGGCCATAGCGAAGGCAGCGACGAACTCAAGCAGCGCGCACGCGAGCTTCTCATTGGCGTTTCCCCTACGGGCTCTCTGAGCAACAAGCTTCCCTTCCTCATGGCACTCCCCGACTGGCTCTCCCCACCCAAGGCATGGGAAAGACGTCGTGCAACCACTGAGCGCACATGGTTTCAAATCATGCAGGACCAGGTTGTAGAGGACATGAAGACTGGACAAGCAGCACCATCGTGGATGAAGACCTTCCTTGATGCTCCTAGCAAATGGGGCTTCAAATATGATGCTGAAGGTGCTTACGCTGTCGGCATGCACGGAATCGCAGGAGCTCTCACTATTGCAGCTCCTATTCAGACATTCTGTTTGGCCATGGTCCACTACCCGCAATTCTTGCCTATGCTACACGAGGAAATTGATCGTGTCTGCGGTGACAGACCACCCCTTCCAGAAGACCGTCCCAACATGCCCTTCCTTCGAGCCATCATCCGTGAATGCATTCGCTGGCGCCCACCCGTCCCTACCGGCATCCCCCACTACCTGACTCAAGACGACGAATACAACGGTTACCACATTCCCAAGGGCAGCACTATCCATCCTCTAGAATGGTGAGACTACACTCTGCTGACTGCATCTGAGATTAACATACTAATGCAATTTCGCAGGGCCATCTCTCGTGATCCCGATCTGTACCCAGACCCTGAGGCCTTTAACCCTCTCCGATGGGTCAAGCCAGAGTACCCAACCTACCAAGAGCCTCTTACCCAGTTCCCGACAATTATCAACTCGACTCAATTTGGCTACGGACGAAGGACTTGCACCGGTCAAACGGTAGCTGATGAGGACATGTTTATCGGAATTGGTTCCATCGCCTGGTTGTTTGATATCAAGAAGCGCTCAGAAGACTCTGCCGTCCCGGCATCCAAGGAACCGGCCAAGGGAGACCACGTCTACGGCAATGAGAAGGCATCCATATCCAGCGAAGAGCTCAACGCAGGCATCGACAAAAAGGAGCCTACAATGGAAGACAAGATCCTGTCCAAGTTCACATATCCTGGATCTGAGCCCGCCAGCAAGACGCCAGCAAAGAAGTCGAAACCAGCATACAAGCCAATGGAGTGGGGTGACATCACCCAGAAGCCGGAAGACCCGACACTTGATTACTCCATCTTACTCATCGCAAAGCCTATACCTTTTGAATTTGATCTCAAGCCTCGCAACACCAAAAGGGTGAGCAAGGTTCGTGACATGTTCAAGGCGGGTGTTGAAAATGGCGACTTCCCCGAGTCTCGTGAGTACTGGGGACCGGACCAAGGCCGTAATAAGCCTGTGGGGTGGAGCAAGGTGTAACACGTCGTTGGCAAGATTGCAAGGGTGTGGGGATCCGATGCTTACCCTACATGGGGGGTTCAAGGCTGGCTGTAACAACACATAGTTTTCCTTTGTGATGGTTCATTTGTACTCGGGTTGAATTATATTGTTGCACATCTCGCCTGGAGGGCCGAGGCGTTTGCGGTTCGCGGGCTGAACTTGGAATCACTCTTTGTAGTTCATTTGTAAATGTTCATTTCCTTTCCTAGCTAGGTCACAGATACAGCTCTGTATTACAATTTTTTCGTATCGACACCTCGTATGCGCCAAGTTATCATTCAGCCTGATGGCCAAGCCACCTAGACTGCGGGCTCCGGCCAGAGATTACCTCACGTGACCTGTGGAAGCCCGCCATGACGCATGCTCGGACCGAGCGACCGCTGCGCGACATCATCTCGCGCCGCAACACGCGCACTCTACACTTCAATGCGACTGCAATAGCCCCATTTAGCTCCTTGCGAGCATCACTCGCCGAATCATGTTTGGTCTTCACTTCACTGCCACCCGGACGCAAATCGCATCCTACCTTTTCGGCGTCGCCCTCTTCAGCATCAGCTTCCTCGTCTTCCTCAACAGCTCCATCTCCTTCGTCATTACCCAGCGCATTGGCCAGTCGCACAATGTCGGCGATGCCGTCGGCACCCTGGGCTTTGTAGATGAGCTGGTTGCGCTGGTAGCATGTCCGGCGTGGGGCTTGCTGAGCGACAGGGTGGGCGTGAGGAGTGTCGCGGTACTGGGGTATAGCATTGTTGGTGTTGCGCTTTGGGTGTTTGTGCAGGCCAAGAATGTGTATCCCGAGCTGCTCCTGGCAAGAATTCTGTTCAGTCTAGGCGCAACTGCGACGTGAGTTTGACATTCCTGGAGATGAATGCCAACTGACGTTGATGCAGCGCAACCATGGTCACTGCCATCTTGCCTTCGATGACTATCGTCAAAGACGTCAGTTCCGATCCGCGGTCGCCGACACAAAGCCGTGGCAGAACACATGCGACGGTTGCCTCGATTTCGTCTGAACTTACTATTACGCCTGCGCGCTTCCGATCAACCTCCCCAGAGGACCACACGCAATTGCCGCCAGCGAAGACGGACACTGGCGCATCCACATCACAGCTTGCGGGACTCGTGGGCATGTTCACAGGATGCGGCGCACTAGTAGCGCTCCTCGTATTCCTCCCACTCCCGACGAAATTCCAAAACGCCGGTGAGCCACCAGCGACGGCGGTCGCAGATGCTTTCTATGTCGTTGGCGCAATTGCATTACTCGTAGCCCTTGGATGTTTCTTTGGTCTGCGCCAACTTCCCGGTGAAGAAGCAAAGGGCTGGAAACGCCTCACCAACACGGGCGATTACAAAGATGTAGACAGTCACCTCACACGCGACGTCGTATTGTCTTACCCTCGCCTCTTCTTTGAAAGCGTCCGCCTTGGCTTCACGTGCCCAAACATTGGACTGGGCTACGTAGGAGGATTCGTCGCGCGCGCATCCTCGGTCGCCATATCGCTCTTCATACCCCTCTTTACCAACCACTACTTTCTGCAAACCGGACGTTGCAAAGTTGATTCTAGCAACCCGTCTGACATCAAAGTCGCATGTCCAGAAGCATACAAACTTGCGGCCATGCTGACGGGAATCAGCCAACTCATTGCGCTGCTTTCCGCGCCCCTCTTCGGCTACCTCTCTGGCCGGTTCCCGAGATATAACATACCACTCATGGTAGCAGCCGTATCAGGCATAGCCGGATACTCTGCATTCGGCTCGCTGACCAGCCCCGACTACAAGAGCAAAGACGGAACCGGCGCGATATTCTTCATTGTAGCTTTACTCGGCATCAGTCAGATTGGCGCCATCGTCTGTTCTCTCGCTCTCCTCGGCCGCGGCATCAACAACGACGAGTCTTCGCCACCTGATGCTTTCCCTAGTGGCGCCTCCCGCGGAACCAGCATGCACGGAACCACCAACCACCCCTCAGCCGGCGCCACTCCGCCTCACAGCGGGCCCGTCACCCCTGTAGACGAAAACGCTCCTCTGCTACCCGAGCACATGTCACAGAGCCACCGTAGAGCCTCAGCCGCAGGCCTCTCGCCTCAGTCTTCCTCGCACAACCACATCAAAGGCTCTATCGCCGGCACCTACAGTCTCCTCGGCGGCTTTGGCATCTTGCTTCTTACCAAAGCTGGCGGCGCGCTCTTCGACACCACGGGCCCTGGAGCACCGTTCTACATGATGGCTGCCTTCAATGCTATTCTCGTGCTTGTGACGCTGGGCGTGACGGCGTCGCAGGGCCTGCGGCGGTGGAGGGCGCTGAAAGGTGGGAGTGCTGAGTTTAGGTAGCGGTTTTGCAAAAATTATATGTCTATGTATGGGTATGAGTATGGATGAAGACCATTGGTGAATATATGGGTGTCTGGCTTTCTTTTCTTTTTTTTTGTAGAGGGGGGGGGGGGTGGTTTTTCTCGCTAGGGTGTAAGAAGAGAGCCGCTCGTTAAGCAGCGCAATGTGAGAATGGAAAATATGAGTGAAATGGGAAATGATGAAGTTTCTTCTTCTTCTTCCAATTCTCTCCATGCAATGAAGTATTAGCGTAAAAAAATCATTCGAGTATTTACGTATGTGTATTAGTCTTCGAACAAAGAGAGAGACAGAGAGAGCGAGCGAGAGAGAGAGAGAGAGAGAGAGAGAGAGAAACGTGAACTTCACTCACACAGCTTATTCATGTGCTGAAACCAAAAGCAAGTAGTATCCCGAGCGTAATCATTTACTCTAAAATCCCCATCTATATATATGCATATTGCCCTCCCGTGCAGAAAACCCTTTTTCTCCAAATATGCTGCAAAATCGCGAGCAAATACTTGGAAAAGAAGACCCGTTGCTCACCATTACCTCCTAAGAAAGAAACGAGGAAAGAAGAAGGGGGAAGGGGGCGGATATCAGTATCAGAGTATCTAATTCCGTGGATGATATGGCCACGGGATTTGGTAGTGAGAAAAATCAAAGATGCAGCAAATTACTTGTGGACTCTGCGCTTAAGTAGTTGCGTAGATGAAGGAGAAGAAGAAGAAGGAGAAGAAGAAGGAGAAGGAGAAGGAGAAGAAGAAGAAACATGCTTTAAAATGGCGAAAATCGCGTTATCCATATGCATATCCAAATCGCGAATTCCAAACCTAAATCCCAAACCAGTATCCGGCATTGCCCTTCGCATACCATGCGGAAAAAAAGCAATGACTCTCCTCGATCCTCCTGCTCAAACACCAACTCCAACCCCAACCCCAACGATGACTTCTGCTCTACTTCATCCCGGGGGATGACGGCTCACCAAGGACATCGCCCCACAGCAAAACATCAACTTTCTTCCTAGGCACATCCTCGATATTAGGTCTGACATGCAGATTGGTGGGCCAAGACAAAGTAGGATCGATCTGCGGGGCGCGAGAAAAAGAAGAGGGGAGACATTTAGCTCTGGTGCTTCTTCTTTGACCAAGGGAAAAAGGTTGGTGTGTGGTTGGTTAACGCGTTGAGGGATTGGAGGGGGGAATAGAGAGGACAGAGGGAAGAGGGAAGGGAAAAAAGGAAGGGAGGGAACAAACTCACTTTGGTACTGCCGGTCCAGGAGGTGCTGCGTTGGAGTCCGAAGTAGAAGTCGCGGAAGGGGTCGCCGGTGGATTCTCGTGCTGGGGGTTGAGGCGCTGGACTGGGGTCGCGCGAGGATGTAAAGGGTTGTTGTTGTTGTTGCCGTAGAGGGGCGTATCTTGACACCGAGGACGGAAGTTGCTGGTGACGATTGTGGTTGTGGGAGTGCGAGCTTGAGGGTAGCGATTGACGGGGCCGGGTATGCGATGCTGCGATGTTGTCGTAATAGGGTTTCCTGACCTGATTGAAGGAGCTGGGAAGGGATTTTCGAGAGGGAAGTTGGGTTCTTGGTGGTTCAGTTAAAGTAAGGTCTTCGATTGCCATGCCGACTTCTCCTAATGCCGTTTCCAAAGTCTCTGGGCCTTGAATAATGCCCTTGCGGTACAAAGTATCGCGGATGCTGTCCTTGTAGAAGCGATAGTAGGGTTCGGCATTTTCTCCGCGGTCTAGACACTCCAGGGCGTGGTCCCGGTAGTCTGTTCTGTTGCGAATGATGAAGTCGTCCCATTGCCATTTTGGTACCATCTTGTCTTCCAGATCCAATAGGTACATTTGCTTGCATTGATTGTGGAAATGATTCGTATCGCCCTTGTATTCTGGATATGCGGCTTTGAAGGATTGGAAGACTGTCTGAACGTTTTCAGTCGCATTGTTCGCTTTGGGAGATTGCACATCTCTCGACTGAACCTGTCTTTGGGCCGGCTGTGATTGGCGAGGCTGTGCGGACTGCGCAGGTCCAGGACTTGGTTCGTCATACAGGCTCTGGTGTCGGGGTGACCTGGCGACTGATGCTATTCTATCACGAGGGGTATCAGTGCTGTCGATATCCATGGCATCCGGACCCCGCGCCGCTGTAGACGTTCTTGTTGGCTCATGTAGATTTTCGGAACTTATGCTTGAATTCCTCTGCCCCCGAAATCTGCGCAGAGATTCTTCACGCTCCCCACGCAACTTGGCGACTGGGTCAATCGTGACAGGCGAGACGTCTCCGAAGCCCACAATCTTGATCTCGCGTCGCTTGGAATGCCTTCGGTTGCTCTTAGCTGGCGAAATCTCGAGTTTACGTTTAACTGATCCTGATACGGTGTGTGGCATGGCCGAAGGTGTCTCTGGATTAGTTTCCTTAGGTTGCGATACCACCCGCTGCGGAGTTGCAGCAGATGGAATAGTAGCCTCGATGGATAATGCCTCTGATACCTGCCGCTCTCTCTTAACACTGACCTCATCGGCTGTGTTCTCCACATTACAAGGCTCATCGAGCACCTGCGAGTTTTCTGGCATGTGCTCAACCGAGCCTGCAGCATCTCTGGCAGGTCTTTCTTCTCGCTGTTTTCGAGGGCTTCTTTCTTCTAATTTGACGTTTGTCTGTATTTGTCTCTGCGCAGGCTCTGCAGAGCTTGGAGCGTCGGGCACATCGTACGTACTGTAGATGATTGATGTAGATGATGTGTGTTTAGATTCACCACTGGAGTTTTGCGCTTGCTCTGGATTGGATTTGCTAAGTGTGGCATCCTGTATGTAGTTGGCAGTTTTACCTTTGCCATCTGGTGTTTCCTCTACCTGAACAACCGACTGTGGTTGTGTTTGTCCAGAGCTGGAAATGGCTGGTTTTTTCATGGATGGGCTGGCACTTTCTGCAAGGTCCTCACCCAACGCTTGTGGTATTGACTCCTCCATCTCCATCTCAACATCTGAGTCCATGGGCGCTTGAACAGCTGGCGGGGATGACTTGATCTCAATAGGTTCATCATCACTTATATCAATGACATCAGGATGCTGTAGCTGTTTGCCGAGCGATGATGACTTTGTTTTGGATTGCCCTGCACCTAACGCCTGGGTTTCAGCACTTGAGTTTGGAGGCAGGCCTTGACCAGGGTTTGTGGGCCTCTGCGGTGGCTCTGGGCTGGCATCCCAAGAAAGAACGCCACTGGAAGCATCGTCATCTTGAGTGGTTTGAGGTACAGACTCTGCGGAGAGATTGATGCCTTCCGGTAGGCTATCAGGCGATGGGTCGACGTCGGATCCGTCTTCGCTAATTGCATGGTCCTCTGTCGCCAACTCATCCGCCATCCTGTGAAGTGTTTGAAGAATTAGTTGTGGCATGTTTCCATCTTGAAATGGCGGGCAGCCCGGTTGAGGCTTCAACCAACTCGATTCCTTATTCAAGCATTCCTCTTGAAGCCTGGGTACTTTCAGGGCCTCGCTGTTGAAGATGAAGCCTTTCATCCAAGAGCATTCTGGGGCCACGGCAGTGTCGTCTGCAGGAACGACGTTGGCTTCACTATCACCTGCTCCAAGAGCGGCATCTCCATCTCTGACCAAGGGCGACGGAACCTCTTTGCTGGGATGCCCGCTCGGCTTGGGTGAGGCAAGCGCGCCTCGTGCGTTTTCATGATGTGTTCCGGAGCGACTGGGTGACTCTGTCGCCTGCTCTGCAGGTTCAGCAGCGCTATGGGCACTTTTCGGTCTGGCAAAAGCGCTCTGTACAAAGCCCAGTGCGGAGGATGCGCTCGGGGTGGTTGGCTTTGGTTTCTGCCGTGGTCCAAGTAGGGTCGTCAGCTTCTCATACATGGCGCTGTTTTGGACTGGCCGGATTTCGACTCGCTGGGTATTGCCAGCGAGGACGGGTTCGAGCGGGGTGACTCCTAGGAGCTGTGGTTCGTCTAGGTCGGAGCGCGCTCGGGCCAGGTGTGGTATCTGTGTGCCAAAGGCCGGCTGAGTGTAGGGCATCTGAGAGGCGGTACTGGTGTCACTGTCTGACGCATCGTGACTCTCGTCCATGGTACCAGGCATCGCGTCGTCGTCGTCTTGTGCCTCGCCGCCCGACAGGCATCGGCGGTCTTCGCGTGCACGCGTCTCGTGTAACTGTTGCAGCAGCGGGCTAATTGCGGTGCTGTGGGCTATGGATGCGAATTGCGTGCTGGAGGCGTGGTGACGGCCGGTGCCGACCCAGTCTATGCGGTGCAGCAAGAAGCGCAGTCTGTGGCGCGGCGGGCCATACGAAGTGTAGCGGATCGTGTACCTGCGGACGGCAATGACGATGCCTGGGTCGAGGCAGGACACGGCGGGGTAGCGGGCTGTAAAGGCGCGGATGCAGTCGGGCGTGAGGTGGGCGACGACGTGGTGGTGGCTGTCGGTCAGAGTGAAGGGCGACGTCTAGGGGCAGGCGAGGTCAGCGGTGAAGGGGACACAGCAGGAAAGGCACGTGGCACATGCCTGGAGCAGCTGCAATGCGCTGTTGCGCTCGGGGTGAATGTAGTTGGTGACGTCGAGGCACGAGCCGTTGTCGTGATAGAGACCGTCCCAGGCCCTCTCGCGCTCCGCCTTGACGCCCGCCGCCTTCTTCGCGTGCCTCTCCTTGAGCCAGTGGTGGCCCAGCAGCAGCTGCGTGGCAAATGTATCCTCGAGCCAGGCGTCGAGCTGCACTGCCATGTGAAGCGTATGTGGGAGCTGGACGTGGATATTTGCTTAGGCGCGGGACGCGACGCGTTCTTTGCTCCCAAGCGAGAGAGCATGGTACTTGGGGATGCGATGCGCACGGCGGCGACTTATTCGATACTGCTCGCAGAGGAGCGAGATGCAACTCTGGTCCGTATCTCTTGCGCTCTATCTCGTTCTCTCTTGTTTTTCTTTCTCCCCCTCTCCCTCTCCATCTCCCTCTCCCCCCCTCCCCCCTCTCCGCCTTGCCGCCAACTGCACGATGGCGGGGCGCAGGAGCGGAAAAGGCTTGGCGGCAGCGCGTCATCGCCCGCTAGCATCACCGCCGTGCCTATGCGCAGCAACCACATCTCGTGATGGACGAGCTAGCTCTTGGAGCCTATCCTCGTCGCCTGGACGCTTCTGCGCCTGTCATCGCTCTTGTCATGAAAATGCCCCTTCTCTGACTCGCCCCAACGCCTCCCGCCCCGCCCCTCGCGACCCGGCACTTTTCTTTGTGCAAGTGACAGGCCTCCTTCGCACGCCGCTTCAGACCTGCTTCTCCCCCCCGTGAAGCCTGATGCCGTCCTCCACTGCCTGCTGCCGGACGCCTCTCCGCCTCCAGACGCCCGCAATTCACCTCTGCGCTCCACAGCCCCCAGCCCCCCACCTCTAGCCATGGCGGGGGACTCGCGCCGGGCGTCGCTGCAGCCTTCGCTGCACCAGATGCACCAAACGGCCTCGCGCTCCGACACCCTCACCACCTTTGACGACTTCACCGTCCCTCCCGCGCCCTCTGTCGTCGGCGAGCCCAAGGGAATCGATCTGGTCCAGGGCGGCTTCAGTGGCCTGTACAGCCGGCTGCGAGCCTCAGTGGGAGGTGGCAGGGAACAAACGCAACATGGCCAGGGCAGCAAAGCTGGCACACAACCGGCGTCTAGGCAGGCCGCCGCCAATTCAAGCCCTGCTGGCACTTCGGTCTCATCGCCCATTGTCGCCTCTGGACCGTCGTCGAGGCTGCAATCCCCAGCCACAGCCACTTTTCCTGAAACACTGCCTCCCTCGCGAGACTCCAACATGTCGAGTGCGACAATGACAAGCAAGGCCTCTCTTTCTACCACCCGGTCCCGCTTGTCCATCACTCCCAGCATCGAGCCTGGGCTCGCCGCCAGACAAGAAGACTCGCATGTTTTGAGCCCCGTCAGCACGCAATCCAAGTCCCATGGCGCCGCCCACATGGACCCACTGCGAAATGCCGCAGTCACAGCCGCCCAGAAGCTGGACTCCCCCCGGTTTGCGACCAACCGAGAGGATGCTGGTCGAAGACAAAAGAGTGACTTTGACCCGGCACTTCACGAGGGAGACGATGCAGGCGAAGATGATATGGCGGCTGTGAGAGGTGAAGGCGCTGCGAGCGAGAGTGCCAAGTTCAAGAGTTCAGCAGACTCATCCCGTGAAAGTTTAAATCGTGTCGCCTCGCGCGCGGATAGCCAATACCAGCCTCCTCGCTCTGCATCCAGCAAGGCGAGAGATCAGCTTGAAGCGTCTGCAGAGGGCGCACAGCCCAGTCACGCGGCTATGAATTCCCAGTCTTCACTGCAAAATCCCGATCAGCAACGTCCGCCCCTAGTTTCTGTTGGCCCCTCACACCTTCCAGGCTACAGGCCCTCAAGAGCTTCCTCTTCCGACGGCGTGAGCTCTGTCGTGACCTCCTCCACCATCCGCACTCCCACTGTCCCTCCAATCGAAGAGATCCAACGGCGAGCTCAAGCTGCCCCCGCTGGACAAACCGTTTCACGCAGCACCTTTACCCAAATGCGAAGAAAAATCCTGGATCGTGAGTTTTGGATGCGCGACGAGAATGCCAAAGCCTGCTTCTACTGCGGCGATGCCTTTACAACCTTCAGGCGCAAGCATCACTGTCGGACATGTGGCCAAATCTTTGATTCCAAGTGCACCTCGATCGTGTCTGGGAAGATGTTTGGCCAGGCGAGCAACCTCAAAGTGTGCAAGCCGTGTGAAAGCATCATATACGGCCACGATGACGACTCGTCCGACTTTACGGATGAAGGTGACCAAGCTTCATTGTACGATCATGGCGACCAGGTCCAGTACTCGGATAACGAAGATCCTGACTACGTTGAAAGCGATCATACCAAGATTGGGACGCCTACCATTAGCATTCCCATGTCCAGAAAGATTGGCAGTGAGAAGAAGCGTCGTTCGCATGTCATAGAAGTCGGTCCTCCGACACTGGCTCGGCCAAGTTCCTCGCGCTCTCTACGCTCCATGGCACGCCCGCGCTCCTCTAGTCATAAACGCCACACCACGAAACATCAACACATGCGAAACTTCAAACTAGACGACCGCGCACCTTTCCACCAATATCATGACAACTCACGCAGCCAACCCAGTCTGTCCGCTTTTCACCACGACAACATCATCGACCCAGACCTTGCGCCATTCATGTCTGACGAGGGTTCGAGTGAAGAAGAGCACGCCAACATTTTTGCAACGCTGAGGGAAGATCCTGCGGCTAATGCAAACCTGGACAGTGAGAAGGGTGGCCTGGGTGGCCTGTTAGCTGCAATGAGAAAGGGAAAATCAAGAGCCGGTGATAGAAGTGCCGTTAGTACAGGGCCCGCTCGAGATGCTGACAACATCAGCATCACAAGCCGAAATGGTAACCGGCCATCTCGGCGGAGGAACCTTAGCGTGAGCAGCGTGACCCATAGGGCCTCACCAAGGAGATCCAAGAGCAGCACCTTGTTGAGGCCATACACTGGCTATGGTGCCAGTGGGCCAGGCACACCGCAAATGCAGCCATCTCCCTCACCGACACCCTTAGGGTCGAGAATCACACGCAGTCCGTCAATGCAGGGTATGACGCCCAAGGTGGAACTCAACAAAGCCAGCCTTGACCATGCCCGAAAGCTGCTCATTCAGATGCTCAATGATGCAGGCGTACCACACGCATCCAGCTGGGAAAAAGCCCTGGTCCCAATATTGCGGCAGTGCACAGATGATGTCAATCCTGATGTGGATCGAGGCGATGACATTGATGTACGGAATTATATCAAGCTAAAGAAGATTCCAGGGGGCAAGCCAAAGGATACAGCCTACATTTCTGGCGTGGTCTTTACCAAGAACGTCGCCCTGCGGAGCATGCCACGTAGCATACCCAATCCTCGGATTGCAATCATAACCTTTGCAATCGAGTACGCACGACACCAAGCGCATTTCATGAGTCTGGAGCCCGTCATTGCACAGGAGCGTGAATATCTCCGTAATCTTGTCAGTCGTATAGTCGCGCTCGAACCACACGTTTTGCTCGTGCAGCGTAACGTGTCCGGCCTCGCACTCGAATTCTTAGAGCAAGAAGGGATAGCTGTGGTCCACAACGTCAAGCCAACAGTACTGAATGCGGTTGCCCGGTGCACGAATTCCAGGATGATCTCGTCTGTTGACAAGCTCGCGATAGACCCCTCTCATCTAGGGTCTTGCGGCAGCTTTGACGTGAAGACATATGTGCATAACAATGCAAAGAAGACTTACATCTTTCTCTCTGGATGCCAAAAGGAGCTTGGTTGCACAATTGTGCTAAGGGGTGCTAAGAATCAGGAACTCACAAGGTTGAAGCGCATCACCGAGTTTATGACTTATGTTGTGTATAACCTTCGCCTCGAGACCTGTTTGATGCGAGACGAGTTCATAGACACACCCACAACATCCATAACTGGTACTCTCTCCTCTAGCAGTGAGCAAGACGAGCAACAGGCCAAGAATTCCGGGGCTGACTCTACCACTCAACGACCAGACGCTGTGGGCGACGGCGACGGTAATCAGTCCAACGATGCCGCACCCTCTTACTACAGCGATATGGTTGAAAACCATCGCACCAAGATTCTCTCCTCATCGCCATTTGTCAAGTTTATGCAGCCCTATCTGCTTGAACAAGCCCGCCAGTATGAAGCGAAACTCGGTCACCTGAAGAAGCTCAAGAACCAGTACACCGCTGATGGCCACGATGAAGAGAAGCCAGGAGAGATGGGTCAGAAGTTTGAGCTTGTGCAGCCCGAGATGGTTCACACGGTCGTCGAAAAGGCCTCCAAACAGGTCCGAGAGTTCTTGTCAGCAGTGCATGCATCGGAATACGACAGAGCAATGCAGCAGTACATGACGCAGCGACGCCAATGGGAGCAATACCTGTCGGGAAACACGGATCTGTACGACCCATTCAACCATCAGAAAATCGCTGTTCTGTACAGTGTGGTCAACACGACAACCTCTACGCCCTGTATCGGACCTGAGATTATTGCCCTTGGCTTCTACCAGGAACACGACTACGACGACGGTTTCACACCAGACTGCACTCTGGGACAGTATGTGGAAGACTTGTGTACTTCGGCCGGTGTTGCTTGCGAAGTCGGCAACTGCGATCGAAGGATGCTCGATCATTCGCGTCAATATGTGCACGGAGAAGGCCAAATGACTGTGATTGTTCAAAAGCATCCTCCCAAGCTTAAGGGAATGTACCAAACCATTCTCATGTGGAGTTGCTGTCGGATATGCGGCCAAGAAACCCAGGCCTTTCCCATGTCGGAATGGAGTTGGAGGTACTCTTTCGCCAAATACCTCGAGTTGACCTTTTGGAGCACCCCGCTGCATCCCCGAGCTGGCGTATGCCCGCACGACATTCACAAGGATCACGTTCGCTACTTTGGGTACAACAACGTTGCTCTCCGAATTCAATACGACCCTGTGCCCATGTACGAGGTGATTGCGCCCAAGCCAAACGTCACGTGGAAGGTGGACAGCGACCTGAAGCTGAAGAACAGTCAGTATCTCATGATCGAGGAGAAGCTGGATCGCTTCATGGCCTCGCTCCGTGCCCGCATCCAGGGAATACATGTGGAAGACGTTATTCCAGAAAAGGTTGATTTGTGTCGGAAAGAAGTCGATCTCCTTCTGAAACGCGCAAACGAAGAGCACGAGTGGTTGAAAGCCAAGCTTCAAGACAAGTACATGAGCTCTAAGTACTACGAAATCATTCCCATGAACCGCGCGATCCGTGCCATTCAGGAAAAGGCCATCGCCTGGGATGTGACGTTTACGGAGTTTGAGCAGCAATTCTTTCCGTCTGAGCGCGATATCAGAAGGTATGCAAACATGCAGCTCAAGAGGTTCCTGGAGCGAGACGACTCGACGAGCTCACTAGCATCTGTCGAAGAGGGCACAGAGTCGGGTGCGGACGATTCGTACATTGATGAGAAAGACGAGTCGATAGCATTGTCGCCTAGGCCGTCCAACATGTCTCCTGAGATGGCTCGTGACATGTTGAGCTCTGTGGTTAAAGAAGAGAGTTCGACTTGCGACACATCCAACGAGACGCCTACGACGCCTGACAGCAAGACTCCTACTTCTCCAAAAGCGGCCGCAGATTTGCCAATCCAGACGACTCGCGAGGCAATTGAACGAGAAGACGTACGCCATTTGGATCTGGCCGTGTCCTCCAATTTCCCAGATAACCCGCCTGTTGCCAGTGAGGACTTGAACATTAGTCCCACTGTTGCTTCCGACCCTACCGGATACGACGAAGGATCGCCGACACCTACAAGCCCCCCCAAGGTCAACCCTATTGACAAGCATGTTGCAGAAGCGATTGACAATATGCCCACCAGTCCCTCGCCTTTGTCCTCTTTCCAAACCCCGTCTACGGAGAGCAAGATTCCTCGTCCGGTTGAGACCACTAAACGGGAGACTCCCCCAAGGCCAACAACACTCGTCAGAACACAATCACAGCCAGGAGGTATCGTCAAGCATGTAGGCACCTTTCCAGGATCGGCAGCTTTCAACAACTCGCCCACGACGCCAAAGGCTATCGCTAATGACAACGCCAAGGCGTTTGAACGCATGACAGAGCGACTAGGAATAGGCATGGGTGCTCCTAAGCAAACCAAGGCTTCCTCACGCATCCCGCGGTCTATCCCCTACAAGAGCCAGACCAAGGTGTCGAAGATTGCGCAGCACTTTGAGCAGTTGTCGAGAGAATTCCAGAACCAGCGTATGCGCGAACGACGTAATGATCGCGCTAGGCAAGTGCGTGCCTTTCCACTGGCGTCTTCCAAGCCCGTTGTCGAGGTATACAAGAATGTGCACGATGCTGTGCAGGAGAACGAGGATTCTGACGAAGATGTACCTGCCGAATCTCCATCCAGGGCTAGCCTTGACAACAGCACTCTGGATAACAGCACGTTTACGGAGCACACAGGTGACACAACAACAGCGCCTCAATCACCAATCGAAGAGCGGCAAGGCAAAGATGAAATGTCGGAAACTCTCGAAGGCGCCGAATCACCCAAATCCCAAGGCCGCTTCCCTTCGGACATGGACAACGACATGAGTGATACCGAGACTACCCCAGAGGATATTCCCCTACCCGACAGCCTCGCTAGTTCTCAGCTCTTGAACCTAAGTGACTCTCAACTGGAGAATTCGCTGGAGCTGCCCAAGCATGAGAAGAACACGCTGCTCAAGATTCTGACAAGCTTTTGGTCTGAGCGATCGGCTAGTGGCTGGACACCGCTCGAGTACCCGTTCTCGCAGATTGAGCATGTGTGGGAAAACTCGGATATTATCATTCGAGAGGACGAGCCTAGCTCCATCATCGCCTTGGCTTTATCCTGCCCCGACTATGTTGCCAAGCGACAATCATTCCGCGAGTTGGGCACAGGACCCGACGGCCACGTGGAGACTTTTGAAGAATCGGTTGAGCGTAACCTGCTGCACGAGGAGAATCACAACATTCGCTACAGTTTTACCAACCGTGGCGTGAAAGCGCATTGTAAGATTTTCTATGCGCAGTCGTTTGATGCCCTCCGCCGCAAATGCGGTGTTGCTGAACGTTTCGTCGAGTCTCTGTCGCGGTGTTCCAAATGGGATTCCAAGGGCGGAAAGTCCAAGTCCATTTTCTTGAAAACGCTCGACGACCGCTTTGTCCTCAAGTCGCTCTCTCCGGTAGAAGTCCAAGCCTTCTTCAAATTTGGCCCCAACTACTTTGCCTTTACGCATCAGAACCTCTTCAAGTCTCTGCCCAGCGTCATTGCGAAGATGTTTGGTCTTTTCCAGGTGCAGATCAAGACACCTACTGGCCGAGACTTTGACTGGTACATGCTCATCATGGAAAATCTTTTCTATGACCGCGAACCCAACCGGCGCTATGACTTGAAGGGCAGCATGCGCAACCGCAAGATTCAAGCCACGGGTGAGCGCGACGAGGTGCTCCTTGACGAAAACCTGGTGGACATCATCTACTCGGAAACGCCCATTTTCGTTCGCGAACACACCAAGAAGCTGCTCAAAGCTAGCGTCTTTAACGACACGCTGTTCCTCTCGCAAAACAATGTCATGGACTACTCGCTCATGGCTGGCTTCGATGACACGAACCGCGAGATTATTGTCGGCATCATCGATTGCATCCGGACGTACACGTGGGACAAGAAGCTAGAGAGTTGGATCAAAGACCGTGGCAAGAACAAGCCGACAATCACATCGCCTCGCGATTACCGAAACCGGTTCAGGATTGCCATGGAAAAGTATATTCTGCAAGCGCCCAACTGCTGGCATCAGTTCAGTGGTAGGCTGGTGGGTCAGGGCATAGATGGGCGTAGAAACATGGCAGATGGAGCTGCGCAGCCCGCGGATCATGGACACAAGAGAGAGTTTAGCATATCGAGCACAACAGGATCGACAGGTGGAAGGGATATGGGTGCGACATTGGCGTGGGGGGTGAATCCACGAGATGGAAGGAGAATTTGAAGAGCTTGAAGTATGAGAGATGATTGGCTAGCATAGCGTTGGTGTTTTGGGGGTTGTGTTGGCGTTGGTGTGGAGGTTGTGGATTTTGGCGTTTCTTTTTTTTTCTTTGTTGCTTTCTTTCCATCTTGAAGCTGCAATGGAGCATCAAGTCGGAGTATGATAATCCTTTGGTTGCTATTTTGTATGCATACAATGACAGTGGGTTTGGAGAGATGCAATTGAGGAATCGTTGTTTGAGCAATGCTGTGGCGCGTTGTCAATGCTAGACGTTGCGATATTGACATGGCAGGAGTGTTTGTTGAGGGTTTCACACAAGCATCGGCACCAAGATCCAAATGAGACAACTTTCAATTGAATACCACATGTAAGCACATATATACACGGCACAAGATCTATACACAAGAATGGTAGTGCTGGCACACACACACACACACACACATGCCAGGCAGGCTACCCAACGACCGAGTAGAATCAGTCAGTCTCATGGCTTCATCCCGAGAGCCAAGAGAGGAAGAAGAAGAGAAAACAAGCCTGACGAAGCCTTTTTTTCTTATCTAAAAAGGCTTGAGCGTGTCGAGGTTCCGGGACTGGACCGAGTATCCGTCGGCCGAGTAGCCAGAGGTAAAGTACGTCTTGGCCTTGAGGTCGCCCTTCATGGTCCACAGCATCCAGTTGAGAATGGCCTTGCCGAAGCGGCCGCCATCCTTGTCGAACAGGGTGCCGCCGTGGCCGACGGGAATGTTGCCCTTCCACACGGGAGTCGTGGCTGGCATGTTCTTGTAGTCGCGCTCGGCCTGGACATCAAATCAGCATCTACTCCTCCAACTACTTTCCCTACTCCCAATCCCACAGAGCGAAGACGGAAGAGGACAAGGGAGAGAACGGAACTTACATTGTTATACGCGATATCCCCCGTTCCACCCATGACAAACAGAATCGGCTTCTTCCAGCTCTTGGCTGCATCCGTGTTGCTCAGGAGGCCCGAGCTAATCACACCGATGGTATCGACGCGCGCATCGTTGATGTTGTCGAGGGCCTCGACGCCGCCGCACGAAAAGCCCGCTGCCATGATCTTGCTGGCATCCACGTTCTTGTAGTCGCCGGTTCCAGCTACCTTGGATACCCAGTCGATAGCCGCCTTCATCGTCTGCGCGTTGGACGAGCCGCCGCCCGTGGGCGCGCCCTCGGCAATCGCAATGAAGCCGTACGACGCAATGTTTTGCAGTAGCGCGCTGTTGGATTTTCCATCCGTGCTGCACGCGCCGTTGCCCCAGACGAGCACGGGGAGCTTCTCGTTGCTCGCGTTGCTGCCCGTGGGATAGTAGATTGTGTGGCCGGAGAGTCCGCTGTCGGTTTTGAAGACGCCGGGGCCAAAGGGTCCGGAGCCGGATCCTTGCTGTTTGTTTTCATGTTAGCTTTTTTGCTGGGGGTTCGGGTCACGTGTGTGTGGGTGGAAAGAGAGAGAAGGAGAGAAAGAGAGAGGGTAACATACGTTTTGGCGCGTCTCAATGGTCACGGGCGACGCACTGATGGTGTCGATGAAGAGGGCCGCAAGGGCAATGGTAAATGCGTTCTTCATATTTGGCAAGAGTCTTGTGTAGAACTACAGAACCAAGCTGTGTACGTGTATATATATATATATGTAAGAGAAGATAAGAGAAGCAAAAAAGAGCAAGTCGATTGCTGCAAAAGTGAATGGTTGTGATATCGAGTCTAGTCACCTTGGGGATGCCCACTTGTTCTTATATACACCGAATATAGCTCCCCCCCCTCCCGGTGGAACTCTTTGACCTTGGCTGCCCCCATTTCCCGCTTTGCCACTTTATCTCCTAATTCTTTTTTGGGGGAGGGAGGGAGGGAGGGGTGGTGTGTGCCCGCTGGGACTGGGGTATGGGTGCACACCCGCAATGGGAACTTGGTTCTTCAGAACTAACTCTTGTCTGTCTGTCTGTTTTTTTATTTCTATCCGATACAAGTTGTTTGGAGGGGGGACCCACACTTGGAAGGGGGGGGGGCACCCCATGACATTGACATACCCATGACACTGTCCCGAAAAAAAAATGGCAACATGGGTTTAATATGTTTCGCTGGCTAAATGCGTCCAGAAGCTCGGACATGCTATGGGGAAATGGGCAGCTTTGTTTCGTTTGGTGCTTTTGATCGGGCCTAAGTATGGGCACTGGCGGAGAGTAAGGGTGGTGCGCGCGGACGGGGCAAGTAGTGCCGATGATGATGATGATGGGGTTGTTTGAAACAGCCGCACTGGATGGGCGGGGGCAAATGTTTCTCCTGGGGTACAGTAGGACGGGATCGGAGGGGCTTCTGGTCGTCTGTGCATATTATGTGGTATTAAATGAATGAAAGCCTTTGCACAAATGTTTCCCCGTGTGAGCGGGTTCTTTTTTGTTTCTTTTGCTTGGCTTGGCTTTGGCCAAGACTGTCACTTAGTGGATTGCATGATTATACGAGGCTTGTGTGGAGATATGAGGCTTTTATTCTGTGTGAATTGAGTACATGTAGACAGTGGTCGTGAGTAGTGTATGCTGACGACTACTATAGCTGTATGACTACGCACGCACCCAAACTCGTATAAGATGGAAAACAATCCAACCCAATAAGCTTTCGTAACCTGTCACAAAGATGCTTAATTTGCAAAGTCAAAGTACGAAGACAGTGAGAGTGCCCTTTGCGTGCAACATCAGAAGCCCCCCCCCCTTCACTTCTGCATGTGGAAAATTTCACGACAGGGACACCCGTCCGAGTCAAACGGGCGGCGCACTAGTGCTTCAGGTTAATCTGGTCAACGGTGCAACAAGGGCTTGGCCGGTGGTTAAGATGGGTAATTGTGGAGACCAATTCGGTATTGCGGGATTCGGTATTAATGCGGATCGTGCATGGCTCTGCGATCTGGCAGATCTGTGAGTGTGTTGAGGAATGCGGGGGAAATATATAACAGTGCATCGGCAATTAATACAGATGCCAGATCAGGATTCTCCCCGCCATTTCAGCTGGCTATGGGGGGGGGGGTGTATCATGGAGACATGTTCCTCGGCCTGACGTCACGGATTTGGTAGCATGGGCAATGCTTTCTCATGGTGAGGCATTCTCGGGGCACTTCGGCGGTCCCTAATCCGCCGATCTCTTACGCCAAGAAGGGGGGGGGAGCGGACCTTTGCAACGGTCGTGGGCGGGCTGGACGCCCATGTTTTAGATTGTGTATGTGTTTTTCCTGTTTTTTTCCCCTTCCACATCCCACCACTCGCATTTCCACATACTACACCTTGGGATCGTGTGATGATGCACACCTGGTTAGACCGTACGATTTACTCTCGGTAAAAACTCATCCGTACCCGTCCGTCAGCTTATGTCTGACCTCACCTTTTCAACCGAACGGCATTTACATGCTTCTTATACGACTACTCTGCGACGGATGACATGAGGGGCGTGTGCACATGCTGGGGAGTATGGAAAAAAGAAAGAAAAGTATTGGTGTTTTGCACTATGTCTGTCTGCGGCCGGACAGGAACACGAGCCAGTCCCCCTTGATATTTCTCGACCAAGTAAGCTTAGTATGATGTGTTGTATCCTGTAAAGGGAACACGGTCAATCCCTTCACACGCAGGCCCTGACCAATCTGCCAAAGCATGTAACCGAATTTAGCATGTTGAATCAAGGACCTCCAAGCCGCTGCCACGTAAACCACGCTTCATGCTCAGGCTCATGTCTCGACTTGTTTCCGGAGAGCTGCTGACGCCTGTCCACTACTGCCGAGAATGCTCGCTGCATCTAGACACGCGAAGGACCGAACCATCGCTTTCTTCTACGCACTGTTAGCTTCCGCAACGCGTGTTTTGGAGTCGGGCTAAACTAACCCTGTCGTCGTGGCTGGAGCCGCAGTGCCACCACCAGCCGCAGCAGTAGGACCACGAGCAGACGTCGCACCATGCCGCTTCCACGCCAAGACACCCATGATGAAGCTAATGAACCACAAGATAGCGGCCATGAAAGCAAAAGCCTGCGCGGCATTCCACTTTCCACACAGTCCGTTTCTCAGGCTCATTTCGTCCCAGTCCCACGTGCTGCCGCAGTGCATGGCATCGGCGTACCAGTCCTGAAGCAGGCCGAAGACGGCGAACCACGCGCCGCAGAACAAGAGGTCTGCGATGACGTGGGCGAGGGGAATGGCCGTGCTGGGAACGAGCCAGAAGAGAGCCGTAGCCAGCGACACGGCGGCTATGATGGCGCTGTAGAGACGTCCAAAGGGGCCGATGCTGTGCTTGTGCTCCAGGTGGAGGAAGTAAGATGTCAGACCTAGGACCACGGCCGCACAAATGAATTGCGCGAGGCGCAGGGCCATGAGGATAGAGCGGGAGACCATGGTGTCTTGACCTGTTGGTGTGATGTGTGATGCTGATGGTATGATGGTGCTGATGAGTGTAGATTGATTGAAGTGGTTTGGAGAAAGCTGTGATGAGTTTTGTGGTGGGTATGAGAAGCAGTGACACCAGTCGTGCAGACGAAGTTTTGTCCCTCACCTTGCCGCCAGGGTCTCGAGCTTCACCTGTTGTTTGCTTGCAGGCAGGCAGGCAGCAGCGCGTCAACCCGACCTTCACCTCGTTACACATTGACGTGGATCCACCGACAGCATGGTAAACACCGAATTCTCTCTCCTCAACCTAATCCCAGTGCCCCTCACTTGACTGCATCCCCAATGCCTCTGCAGCACATGTGCAACGAAACCACGTCGATGGAGTGACGTTGGCTCAGCCGCTCAATGATTGGACAATGGCTGTTTTCGCCCCGTTGAGCTGGGCATGCAGACAACCAACACCAGAAAAAGCAACGGTCCTATCAACGCTCACCAGCCGTCAAACACCAAAGAACGCACGTCATACCGACTATATTATACAGGCACAGCCATCTCCACAATCTAATTCCCAACTAACTCGTCTTGTTCAAGCCCCCGTTCGTTATCAAACCCCCCACCCATCTACCTACCTACCCCACTATACTTACTCAACATACATACATAGACCATTTCCAGACCAGCCCCCAATACCCCCCGTGGATCATATCCAACACCACCACCATGGCGCAACCCCACGCCACCATTGCCATCCTCTCAATTGGCCAAATGGGCCTCGGCATCGCCGCACTGCTGCAATCCAACAACTACACCATCACCACCACCCTCAACGGACGCAGCCCCGCAACACGGGACCGCGCCGCCTCGCTCGGCATCCGGGTACTCGATACAGACGAAGAACTCGTTGCAACTGCAGACTACCTCCTCAGCATCGTGCCGCCGCGCGACGCCGTCGCAACAGCCGAGCGAGTGATTGCTGCGCTGCAGAAAGGATGTCGAGCCGCACCATCAGAACCCCGGAAACACTGCTTGTACTATCTAGATCTGAATGCCGTAAGCACATCTACCGCGCGCGGCACAGCATCGCTATTTGAAAACAACGGAATGCAAGACCAAGTCCGGTATATAGACGGCTGTATCATTGGGACGCCACCTCGTGCCCCCTCCTCTCCATCATCCTCACCACAAAGCAGCAGCAGCACCACCACCACCACCACCAACACCACAGATGCCACCTCCCTCTCCTCCTGGTACCGCCCCGGAATCCCGTTATCAGGCCCAGCTGTACTGCCAGACGCACATTTAGCTTCAGTCCTCAACACGCGGCATCTGGGCCCGCAAGTCGGCACAGCCAGCGGCTTGAAATGCTGTTTCGCGGCGCTGACAAAGGGCTTTACGGGACTGGCGCTACAAGCGTTTACCACGGCGGAATCGCTCGGCGTGCTGCCGGATCTACTGTCATACATGGACGTGTATAATCCCGGGGCGCGTGCAAAGGCCGAAAGGGGGGTTGTGGCGTGCACGGGGAAGGCGTACCGCTGGGTTGAAGAGATGCGCCAGATAGGCGAGTGTTTTGACGACGAGGGCGGGTGGACAAGTGCCAGTGTGTTTCGAGAGCTTGCAGCTGTGTTTCAGCGGCTGGCGGATGTGGTGGAGCACGAGGGGGGCAGTGAGGGTATGAGTGATGTACGTGGTGTTGTGGGGGCGTTGGGTGGTATGTAGTAGTCCGCAAGAAGTGGATAGGAAATGAAGATGACATGTTTAGATTATCATGTTTGTAACATGCAGAGAGAAGATAGCTCCATTTCTCGTCATGCGTATTTCGCAATCCCGATACTACGCCGCCAACCCCTCATACACGCCCTTCTCGGCCATGAACCACGCGGGAATCACCTTGCCATCGCCATTCGGCAGCACCTGCGCCGCAAGCATACCCGCAACATCCTTTTCGCGGTCCGCCCACCAGAAGCAGTTGCACAGCCCCATCCACCACAGCGTGTTGCTGCCGCGCCCCGTCTGCCCGGGCTCGATGGTAAGGAAGCCGCCAAACGCCCAGCCTTGCGGCGGATTGCCCGGCTGCGGATACATCTCATCCGCCGCGTTCATGAGCAGCGGGTTCGCAGGCGCCAGGCCCGCACGCGCAAAGTCCGGTTGATCAGGGATCTGGTTTTCCCACAGGAGATCGACCGATTCCTTCTTCAGGATCTGTTTTTGCGTCAGGGGGCTCGTGCCGTTGTTGATTAGGACCGCGAGTATCTTGACGTATTCCTTGGGCTTGGAGAAGAGGCCTGCGCCGCCGGACTGGAGAAAGTCGTTTTGCTTTTCCGGTGGGCACGACAGCGGGCCCATGTAGAGATGCTCGTTTTCTCGGAGGCTGCCAGAGGCGTCGCGCTGGTGCATGTGCGCCAGGTGCTTTTGCGTCGCGGGTGAGGGGAACATGGTGGCGCCGTCGGCGGGGATGTCGAGAGGCGTGAAGATGTGCTCTTGGAAATACTCGCCCAGTGTTTGGCCAGTTACGCGTTCGAGAATGACACCCGCCCAGTCAATGTTAAGCTGTGATCATGTTTTAGTTCCTATATCGCCAATCGTGTGAACGGTGGAGACTTACTCCATATTCCCACATGCTACCAGGCTGGTTCACCAGCCTTGCATTCAAGACATCGTTCTTGTCTCCATGGGCTCCTTCGATACCGTCTCTCTGGATCCTTGGATCGAGGAATGCGTATGCGAACCCTGCTGTGTGGCTCAGCAGCATACGCACGGTAATGCCCTTCTCTTGCTCCACGCCATTGACTCCATCAGGGTACACCTTCTTCTCGGCAAGCTCTGGTGCAATCTTCTTGACAAACTCGGCGTCATCTAGAGATATCTTTCCTTGCTCAACAAGCTGCAACACCGCAATGGCTGTCACGAGTTTTGTGCACGAGGCAATCCAGAAAATGGTAGCGGAAGCATCCATGGGCTCGGCCGAGTCTACGCCAAGCGTGCCAGACGCATGTTCGACGAGGGTTTTGCCCGACTTGTCAATTGCATGGAAGACGAGACCAGGTGAGCCATCTTTGACAAAGCTGTCAAGTGTGTTTTTGATGGTCTCAGTGCTTTGGCTGCTGAGTGACATTGTGACAGAATGGTTGATCAGAAGTGCAAAGAGAATAACAAATCACAAGAGGGGCGTATGGAGGAACAGAAAACACTGAGATACATGGTCTATTAAAGTCGATTTATTCAGAGCAGTGGGCCTATCAGCCAAGAAGTCGGTCATAGGGGAGCGCCATTAGCGCCCACTACCCCGCTGCGGGGACGTGGAACGTATCGTTGGCCCTGCAACATCTGTGGCTCGGATGTATCGTGCTAGCATCGTGTAACCGATTTTCAAATCCAATACCCAGTCCAAGCCGACCTTTGTGAGGCATTGATAAGGACTACCAGTCTGTCGATGCTGATTGCCTGCAATCGGAGAGGATTCTAAGGCACGAAGCTCCCAGCACAAGCCGAGGATCGATGGATGCTGATAACAAGTCAAGTGAGCACCACGTACAATCGAGGTACTGGTACCAAGGTCTTACGTACAGCGTTGTCAGACCCGCTTAGTGCTGACTAGGACGCCTGAATCACGTTCGCTTCAGTACCGACGTCAGCTCTTTCAACGCAGCCATTACAAGAGGAACGGTGATGGGGCCTAGCAGGGGCAGATAGACGGCGACTTTGTGCTCGTCTGGAAAGTAAACTTGGCCAACCATGGAGCGCTCAAAGAAGGCCTTTTCAGCGGCCACCTCTGCAGCTCGGGCGTGTTCTAAAGCACAGGGGAAACGGCCATCTCGGAGGTCGTTGCAAGCTTGCTGCAGATGCGCAATGGTATGATGTGTAGATTGAGCCACGTTGTCAGGGACTGGGATAGAAGGAAGCTTCTGATAGACTTGGGCCAAGGCACCCAGAGTCGAGGACGCAGAGAAGATGAGTGAAGCAGCCCGCACGCGCTCCAGAGTTGAAATGCGCAAGGGTAGCGAAGCTGGGCTTTGAGGCAGACCGAACAGCGAGATGAGCTGATTCAAAAAGGTCTGCATGGCCGGCGCAAGCATGTCCACAGTGAGCGCTGACGGGGTGTCTGACTCGCTTGGCAGATTCAAGATGTGCACACCTCCCCATTGCGGAATTAACCAGCTGTTGCCTCCATTCTCCTTCACCAGGAGCGGAGACTGCGCGCGATCCGGGACGTAGAGTATGAAATTGACTGTTGGCCCTTCGCCAATGCTGGGGCTCAGGGGCCACTCGGCGGCATTGATGAATCCGCTCAAGTCTTCCCTGCGAAGTGTCCATGCTTTTGTTTCTGCATCGTATTCGGGCTGTCGGATGGAAGGGGTATATCCGGCGTATAGTTGTACTTGAGTATCGACGGTGAAGTTGCTGATGGCGGAGAAGGCATCGAGCAGGGGGTTCATATACGTCTCGAGTGCTGCCTCAATGTCCCATTGCGAGGGGGCGTATGACGGACTGAACAGAGAAAAGGTCAGGTGGTATGTAGGCGCATACTTGAGGGCGCGGGTGGATTGGCGCTGTAGCTCTGCGGACGTCTCGGGGGAGAGAGCCTTGATCTTGGCCGCATGGGCGCCCGAGGAGGCGGAGAGCACATGGACCAGCTGGGCTTGTTCCTCGGCAAAGATGTTGTGTAGCTCCTGGGCGAGGAACGTAGCAAGACTCGAGCCGGTCGACGACTGTGGGGGAATCTGGTTGGGCGAGTAGTATACGTCGAGTGTAGGCGCATAGGGCTGCAGGTGTGAACGCGGCGTTGCGCCAGTCTCGACAGGTATCAATCGGACGACGAGAACCACGTCCCTGTCGTCGCTGGGAATGCTTGCTCCGTCACTGACGACTTGTTGCGAGGCATTGGCCTGAGACGGGGGATCGGCGAGCATCAGACGGAGATGGTGCGCTGAGAAATCATTGAGGTCGTCGAGGGCATGCTGCGTAGTGCGGATGAGGTGCTGGGCGTCCGACGAGGGAATGGGCGCTTCGACGGCGATGCGTAGAGGAAAGACTGGTTTGCAGACCTGCAATGGTGTCAACTTGGGTCGTGGCTTGGTGTGCACAACACGAAGCATACCTTGCCCTCAGCCCAGTCTGTCATTTCCTGCAGCGGCAACTCCGCCCGGTAGATGGCCGTAGTCTTGAGCCATACTGGCAGGCCCAGGAACAACACGACGGCCCAAAAGGAGACGATTGACCATCGGCGCAGCCACAGGCTTTCCTTTGACTCTGGAGGGAGCTGCTTCTGCGGGGTAGCAGCGACTGGTGGCGCTGCAGAGTCCCGAGGTGGCGCCGGCTTCGAATTGCCCGTCAGCGACGCGTCGGTGCTTGTTGGTGCCGCCATGTTGCGGTTGAAGTTGTCGACGTTGGTCCTCAGGACAATGTCGCGCTATGATGCGCGTCCGTGCGCCTCTCCACCAAGTAGTAGCAGTAGGTCGGCCGCACACCAACGACCAGCCCACGGCGCCATTACTCGCTGGCAGCCCATGTTGCAAGGTGTTGACGTAGCCACGAAGTTTATTTTTCGAGATTGGTGCTTTCTCTCTCGGCCCGTATGCTGGACTGGCTTGCATTCGTGGGTTTGGACGGCCGCTTGCCAACGCACGTATACTTCTTTTCTCAGCGGTATTTCGGCCGAGGAACCGCTCTGATATGCAGCCGCCCGGGTTGCTGGATCGGATGTCGGACAGGCCGTGTCTCTGTGCCACGTCTCCAATGCTTGTCGTGGGCCGACTGCCATGTCCCAGTCGGCTCTGGTGTTCTGCTCCATCCCTCCAGCCCACGCGTGCAGGGGTGATATGGCCATTGAAAAGACGTGGATTGAAGATGCAGTTGACGGGCCGTGTTCTCATGGCCAGCTTGATTGGCGTGGCCAGTTTCGAGAAGGGCTGCTCGGCAGGTCTGTTCCGCACACTCCCAAGCGGCCATGTCCATGCTCAATGTGCTTCTTGTTCACGCTTCCATCGTGCCAGCGAATCCACTCTTGCGGCAGAATTAGGCTGGTGTCGTACGGCGGTCACGCCAGGCGCGTGCCTGTGAACGGCTGGTCTGTGCACTGTCGTTTGAATGCGTGCCCGTAGGCTGCTCTGCCGTGAATCCAAGTGCTCGCTGTGCAGCCATTGTGTCCTGTCTTTGCAGCGCACGATGCCGGCGACTCCAAGGCTCCCCAAAACGCAGCCGGGGGCGTCCAGGCACGCGTGTGGTTGCTGGGTCGCGGCAAGGTTTCAGTGGCTCACGGCTTGGATCGCCCTGTTGCCCCGCCCGGCTAGGCTGCAATGGGCGGATTAGCGGTCCGTGCCATGCGGGGTTGCATATCTGGGGAAGCGACTCGACACACTGTGACGCGGTGCTCACGAGATCGGGAAGCTGCTACCCCTCTTAGCTGAGAGAGCTTCGCCCCTTCCCGCCGCTTCCTTTCTCCTTTCCTTCATACACACACACATACACACACACGCAATACTTTGATGCTCCATCCCGCAACCCTCTCAATTCATCCCATCCCAATCACACATAGTCATTCACGATGAGTGCAGTTGCAGACAACACCGATGGCCCCGTCGAGCAGGTCAAGGTGTTGTTTGCTCTCTTTGACAAGTACAATACGCTCGACGTGGCCGGTCCTCTCGAGGTTCTGAGCCGCTCTCTCCAGGACCTCAAAGACCCCAGTGAGCCACCACCAGCCCGGCTGCCCTATTCACTGGTGTGGCCCAATTGACTGCTCGCTCACATTTCATAGACAGCAAGGCCTTCAATTGCCAGTTTGTCGGCACCTCGGCTGCCATGACCTCGGTCCAGGGTCTTACCATCAAGGCCGACATGGACTACGAGGTACGCAGCGCCTTGCAGAACGCCGCAGAGGCCGTGCTAACTCTGTGGCCCAGGACGCCAACAACGAGCTCGACGATTTCGACGTCATCATCGTTCCCGGTGGTGAGGGCGTCTTCGACGTGCTCAAGAACAAAAGCGAGCCCTTGAGCCTCCTGACCAAGTACGTGGAGCTTCAGGAGAAGAACCCCGTCAAGGAGCGCACCATCCTCGCCATCGACGTGGGTGCTCTGCTCCTGGCCCAGCAAGGCATGCTCGAAGGCCTTGCTGCCACGACGCACCCAGACTACTACGTCCGCCTCGAGACCATCTGCCAGGAAGCGGCTAGGCGAGACATGTCGATGCGTACAGACGTCATGGAGGAGCGATACGTTGTCAACAATGCTCGCTTCGATCTGGGCGAAAACCCCGACGAAAACCCGTTAGTCCAGCCCCAGCAGTGCAGCCCTGGCACGAGCTAACCGCCACAGGTACATTATCAAGAGGTCGCGAGAGCTACCCACTGTGCCTGAGGGCCCCAACACGGCTCATGCCCGCAGAAAGTCGATAGCCCGCAAGGGCAGCAACGCCTGGCGCGACTCTCGCCGCCGCGAGTCGATTGCCAGGCGCGAGTCGATGCCCCTGGGCGGTATGCGTGTCATCACCACTGGCGGCGTCACTGCTGGTCTCGACGCCAGCCTGTACTTGGTGGGTTCTCTCGCATCTCACGACTCGGCCCTGGAGGTCGCCCGTGTCATGCAGTATACTTGGGTTAAGGGCGTTACGGTGGATGCGATCGATGTTTGAGTCGCGGCTCAGCACAGCAAGCGAAGGCGTTTACGGGATAGGGTAAGATTACGATCGAGGCAATTGTGTGTAACATGTCGGGCATCTCAGAGATGGACCACGACGAATCATGTAAGGATTCAATAAGAAATGTAAAGAATTAAGAAATACCAAATGCTGCTTATCGCGGGTGATGGTGGCGGCACAGCGAGCCGGCGCGCTTGGCTCCACGGCTCCACAGCTCCACTTCCATTCCAGCCCCCTCATGCGCACGCCATTGTCGACATTCAGCACGCGAAGACGCTACAACGACTGGCGCATGTCGGACGATGCGAGGATATGATGGAGCGGCCAATGATGAATTCCTAGTGGCACCCTCTTGTTCCGCGGCTGCGAGATGAAGCTCGAGACGGTGAAGTGCCACGGCTTGGCCCGTCCCTTTGAGCAAAGCCACCAGCATCCAGAACACATGGGTGCGCTGATTGGGCTGTGTTCACTGCAGCATACTCGCCATTCCTGTGCAAAATCTTGGCACGCGTTCCTCATGAACCATCGCTGGGGTTGTCTAGAGTCAGACCGCCGCTGACGGTCTGATCCTTGAAAGCTACCTTGTCTTGAGCCTCTACGTCTTGCACCCACATCCCACGCATGTCTACACGCGTCAATGTCGCTACACTCGCTCATAAGCTCGCTCAGGCGCTCGCGCCTCTCATCACAACCGTCTACGCCCTCGGCACATCTCCAGGCCAACACTGACAAGCTCCAATGGCGCCTCCTCGACGTGTTTCTGAACATGTGGGATTTGGGCTTCACGGCGTTTGGGGGGCCCCCTGTGCATTTCCAGATTCTGCATCGTCGCTTTGTCGAAGGAAAGGGTGGAGCCAAGTGGTTGGATGAACAGGCTGTGAGTTTTTTTTTATGTTGTTCGTTAATGATTGAGGGTGAGAAATGTTTGGATAACCTATGAGAAGGTTACGAGGGGTGCTTGCAAAGAAAATGCACACTTGGAGACTATCAGATGAACTGACACCAGCCAGTACCAAGAACTCTTTGCAATATGTCAAGCCCTGCCTGGTCCAGCCTCGACCAAAATGTGCTTCTGCATCGCTCTTCTCCACGCCGGCGCCGTCGCCGCCATCTTCGCTTTCCTCCTGTGGAGTCTTCCTGGCGCAATCGGCATGTATGCGCTCTCTCTAGGCGTGCAGAATATGCCTGAGCGTCTTCCTCCGATTGTATACGCCCTGCTCTCCGGTCTCAACGCTAGTACCGTTGGCATCGTAGCGCTGGCTGCCGTCCAACTAGCTGAAAAGGCCATCAAAGACCGGCTCACAAGAATCCTCGTCATCTTCGGCGCATGTGCAGGGTTATGCTACAACGCGCTGTGGTATTTCCCTGCGCTCATCGTCTGCGGCGGCGTGGTCAGTGTGCTCTGGGATATCTGGCTGATGAGGTGGGTAGGCAAGATGAAAGCGCGATACCAGAATCGACGCCGCCGGCCGAGGAACGAGCAAGGCGATGCTGAACAGGAAATTCAACATGCGGATATCCAGAACACGGCGCCGGTGGAGCTCACTCGGCCACAGGCTGTAAAGAGGAGGCCGCAGACGGGAAGCTCAGCTGTGGATCATACATCGTCTTCACGCGAACATCTCACGGAACATGAGTCTCCAGAGCAAAACCCAAGACACGCAACCGAAGAAGCTGCTGTTGCCGATCTCAAAACACACAATATATCCACCAAACTCGGTCTCACCCTCATCCTCGGCTTCACAGCCTCCTTCATCGTCATCATGGTCCTGCGCGGCACTCTATCCTCTCCCGCACGTCCCTTTGCCCTCTTCTCCAACATGTACCTAGCCGGCACCATAATTTTCGGCGGCGGTCCCGTCGTCATCCCGCTCCTCCGCTCGTACGTCGTTGATCCGGGATGGGTAGCCCCCCGCGACTTTCTGCTTGGCCTCGCCATCATCCAGGCGTTTCCGGGCCCCAACTTCAATTTCGCAGTGTATCTCGGTGCGCTAGCTGTTTCGTCGTCGCCTTCTGCATCTACACCGACTATCGTTGGCGCCCTCCTCGCTTTCATCGGTATCTTCTTCCCGGGCATCGTCCTGGCGGTAGGCGTGCAATCCTTCTGGCAGGCTCTCCGCACCAAACCATACATCTTGAGTCTGCTCAAGGGCATCAATGCGACCGCCGTCGGCATGGTATTTACCGCCGTGTACCGCCTCTGGGAAATCGGGTACCTGACTCCCGATAGCGGCAATGGGAGAAGTCTGGCCGAAGAGCCGTGGTGGGTTGTTGTTGCGGCGCTGGCATATGCCGAGACGGCGTGGTTCGGGGTCCCACCGGCTGTGGCGATTGTGTTTGGCGCTGTTCTGGGCATGGGGTGGTATGGGGCTGTGAAGAGCTAGGTGTTGTTGAAAAAAGCAGGGAGGAGTAGCGGGGTGTTGGAATAAATGATGAGGGTCTGGGGATGTGCGATAGATGGTGAAGGTGGTGTAGATGACGAAATCGTGTGATTGAATGGACCAGCTTACTTATGTATACAGATGCATGCCCAAAAAGCCCATGAAGCTACGATATCTTCTCTCTCTCTCTCTCTCTCTCTCTGTGATTTTTTTTTATTTTTCTCCTTTGTTTCCATATCGTATTCCATTCCATTCAGGGGAGTAAAAACCACATCATACCGATGCTCCTCGACCCTAGTAAATCCACCACCACCACCTCCTCCTCTTCTTCCAAACCGAACCAAACCAACCAAAGAAAAGAAAAAGAAAAAGAGAGAAAGATCCATAAGAACGCCATCGTCTTTCATGCCTCAACAAGAAGATCAGAAGAAGAAAAAAAAATCCCAAGTCCCATTGTCCAAGTCAGAAAGCTATACGCAGCCATTCCATCTATTTCCCAGAACTCCAAATAATAATAATAATAAAAAAACACACACAAAAAACAATGACGATAAAATCCTCCTCTTCTTCTTCTTCTTCTTCTTCCTCTACAAACTTCTTCTTCTCCCAAAACAGCTTAATTATAATACCCTCCATTCGGCGCACTCGTCGACGTATTCGGATCATTCAGCTTGCCGCCTCCATTATGGATAACAGGGGGTTTGCTGTACTTTTTTGATCGCGATGACGATGATGATGATGATGATGGTGGGGACATGGCGGATGTGGGGCTGTTTGTGTAGAGGCTTTGGGATGAGGTTGAGCTTGTTGAGTAGCCTGTTGGTTGGTGGTGTTTTGTTAGAGACTTGGTTGGAAGGGGAGGTGGGAAGAGGAGCGGCTTACTTGTGGAGGCGGTCGAGGGGCGGGAAGGGTAGGTTGGGGCTTTTGGTGTGTAGGGTGAGGTGTAGGGTGAGGACATTGTTGTTGTTGTTGTGGTGGTGGTGGTTTGGGCCGCTGATGCCTTTTCTCCCACGGCGTTTTTTTTTGGAGTCTGTGTTGCCCTTACAGGCCCGCCCATCATCAGCCACCACCACCATCCACGCCCGTCAGCCCCCCCCCCCGTTCACTGCCTGGACCCTTTTTTTTCTCTTTCCCTTCCGTTCTCTTCTCCCTTGTTAGCTTGTGACGTGACGCATGCCAGCTTCTATTCTGTTTCTACTTTGGTGAAACCCACGCGTCCACGATGACTCTTTTTCCCCTTTTTCCACTTTCCATCATCTCCTCTTCCCCGATCAGGACGCCGCCACGGCGTTGTAGCCTAATATGCTGATTCGCCTTTGTATTTCCAGAAACTGGGTCTTTTTTGCCAAGAGAAGCAGAACATAGCCACACGTGCCGTGTGTGTGTGTGTGTGTGAATCATCCGTTGGTAGTAGCGCGCACCAGTCATTCACCATACGCACGGCCCAGCCCAAGGTATCCAGGCAACGATGCTTGACGAGGAGGGTGCCGATAGCCAGCAGCAAGTTGAGAAAGCCGGATGGTGGTTAGTTTGGGGGTTTAATGGCGGCCTCAGGGTTGCGGGCTTGTCTGCCTGGGAATAAATACTTGTACTTGTTGTCGTGACTATTCTTTCTTTCTCACACGCACTCTCTCTCTCTCTCTCACACACACACACACATTCAACAACAACAAGTCTTGTACACAGTCGTATATCCCGCTTCTTGAACGAGCTGTAACAAGTCTTCGTCGCCCACCAACAAATCAACCAACAAACCATCTTCATATCGTCGCTGAATCCACAACCCATCCACCATACAACATAATTGCGTACGTAGTTCCAGTCTCTCTGATCTTTCCCCAGGCGTCAGCAATCCAGAAAGAGAGAGGGACAAAAAAAAAACAAAAGCACGTTTCTTCTGGTGAACAAATTGAACATTTTGGGAGGCGGGTTCGTCACCGGTAGGCCGAATACGGAATGGTGTGGGGGCTGAGAGAGAAGGGTGAGGATGCATGGCATGGATGCCTGGGAGGCAATCGCCGTAGAAACAGGTGACGAGTATTGCCGTATCAGGAGAAAGAAAGGGAAAGGGGAAAAAAATAAAAGAAAGAAAGAGAAAGAGAGAGTTTCGGCGGCTTCCGATGATGACTGGAATGACCTGTTCGAGCGGGTTGCGGCAAAGGGCAGAGAGAAGGCCAAAATGAAAAAAGGGCGCGATGTTGCGGAAAGGCGCAGCAGATACGGGGGATCGCTGCGTTCGAAGCGCGGGGTTGGCTGGTTGGCTGGTTGGCTGGTTGGCTGGTTGGCTGGTTGGCTGGTTGGCCGGTTGGGCGGCATGCAAGTAACCGTTTGGTGTGTGGTGGGTAAGTAAGGCGGCCGGCAAGGCTCTCAACGCCATGGATACGAGCGAGGGACCACTGCTTGACTCAAAAGCCGGAGGCGGTGCTCGACAAGTTAGCGTGCGCCCAACTGTCATTTGCGCAAAGTGCAAGTGCCCAAGTGCGCAACAACACCTGTTTGCCAGCGCATTGCGAACTGCTGGAGAAAGAAGGGGGATGATGATGCGCGACATGTTTCTATGCAGCACAGGAACAGCGCCTCAAGACGCAGGCAATCGGGCCTTTGGCAACTCTCGATATGGGGAAAGATTTAAATTGGCAACTGGGTATCGCTAATCGTTGCCCACGGTAAAAAAAAAGAAAAAAAAAGAAATCCTCGAACCTCTCTACTACACCTACTTAATCATACAGTTTCAGCGCGCCGTTGAGGTCGCCCGTAATCACCTTGGACGTTTCGCGCGGGTGCCACTGCACTGCCAGCACAGGCGCGTCGCTGGCGGCAATCTTGTGATACATTTTACACGTCTTCCAGTCCCAGAAACACAGGAAACCCCCGCTGTCACCGGAGCTGATGAATTGCCCGTCGGGACTGATGGCCACGTCGGGCGCATACCCAGCCACATTGTGTCCCCTGTAGCTCTTCTTGCGATTCTGCCTGAAGCGGTCCGTCGAGCTGTAGACTGTAATCTGGTTGTCCGACGACTGGAAGGCAACGTATTTGCCTGACGGGTGGGGCGAGGACCGGACCATGGAGAACATGTACGGCTCGGCGATGAACTTGATGGGAACAGGGATGCCGTATTCCCATGCGCGCAGCGACTTGTCGTCTGACGTGGTGATGAAGCGGCGGTTCTCGTCGCAAAAGGTAATCGTGTTGACAGGCCCAAGATGGTGGTCATACTCTTGCACCATCTCTCCGCTCCGTGTGTCGTACTGCAGAATCTTCTTGTCGCTCATGCCCGCCAAGAACTCATGCGGTGTGCTGGGATTAATGCGGACAACATGCGGTGTCTTGCCAGTCGTGAACCTGTTCAGGCACTTTCCAGTCTCCGTGTCCCATAGCTTCATGTAGCGATCGTAGCTGGCCGACACAAACTGCGTGCCGCTAGGGTTGAAATCAATGTCGACAACCGACTTGGTGTGTCCAGAGTATGTTCGCAGCAGCTCGCGCTGGTGATAGACATCCCATAGCGCAATCTTGGAGTCGGCCGACGCCGACAGCAGGAGATGACCGCTGTCGGGTATGAAGCGTACTTGGGTAATCGACTTGGTGTGGTATTTGTAGCTGTGGATGAGTTTCTTCGGTATAAAGTTCTTGGGTTCGTAGTCGCCCGTGAGCTTGACGTCAAGATCCGTGGGTACGTGCATGTAGGTCCGTCCCTGGTAGTCGTACTGCTCGCTGCCTACAAACTCGCTCGTCTCGCCTTCCGTCTCCGTGTCGCGATAGTCTGTGCCGGCAAGCTTCTTGGGCGCGGGCGCAGAGTTGTCGACAATTTCGTCTTCCTCGTACACAATCTCCACCTCCACATCTGACCCAAACTCATCGTCCGACGCTGCGTCTGGCCGTTGCTCTTCATATTTTGCCCAAGGCCCCTTGTATGCGCCCGCTCCGCTCACGATGCTCGAGTCGCCCTTGGCTTCGCGCTTCCTCTTTTTCGACCCCTCGCCGCTCTCGATCGCGCGCTGGCCCTGTCGGAATGTGTGATCGCTGATGTATGTCTCTGCCGCGAAACCGGTTGGCACTCTGCCGGAGCCTCCAGGTGCCATTGCAAAGGGTTTGGCCGATCGATTCGAGGTCGCGTAACCGATAGGTAGATGTTTTGGTGCTCAAGCCGACGCTTAGCAGAGGTTGGGGTGGATGAAGCGCAATCACGAGTAGTTGGGTAGTGTCGAGAGCTGCTTCGCTGTAAATTATTCTGACTAAGCATGCCAAGACTTGGTCCGGCACCAGGGTCTTATCATGTGAAACTGCAATTCGATTCAATAGGCTAACATAACGCTATCATTCCGACATCAGGATATCTAACCGTCCAGATCCTTGTTCTGTATGATCTCCTTCCTGGAGTTTGACCCCCAAATATCCCATTGCCTTAGACCAACAACCCGGCCGTGCCATCCCTATAGCAACATGCGTATGCGTGGCTCCACTGCGAGCCGGATATCAATATCTTCCTCTTTTGTTCTTCTTGGCGTGCCTATATCACTTGCCGTAGTTGGCTGCAACTGGCGTAGCTGCAAATGCCACCACGATGAGGACTGGGGCAGAGTCCCCGATTAATGAGCCTCGTCGCGGATGAGAGCGACGATCATGCTGTAGAGGTAGAAGAAGAACATGAGCAGATGGAAGCCCAGCTTGATAAATGACTCCTGGCGGGGTGTTAGCTAGCCGCGGCGGAGCAGATTGGGGCTCGTTGATCCCACCTTCTTGTGAACGTTGAGCTTCCTAAAGATTTCCGTCGCATCCAAAAGGTGCTGGTTCTCGAGGATCCTGTTGCAGTCAGCGCCGTCACTGCCGAGGCATGCTTGACCCGGGCACGTACTTCTTTGCGTTCCATGCCAAGAGAGGCAGGTTCAGGATCAAGGCCACCCAGTATCCATTGACGAGGAACAGCACGGTCAGGAAGGCGTGGACGGCGGCCTCTGGGATGATGTAGGTGTTGAGACGGTTACATAGGTCGATGGGGTTGATGTAGTCGCTGGCGCAAAATTAGCCGCTGCTCCACCACGGCCCTGCGGCATGCATTGTGTGCGAGGCCGTCTTTGCGAGGGAGACTTACCATTCCAGATCACTGTACATGATGGTGAAGAAGACCTGGAGGAACAGGTTGACGGCGTTTATCAGCACCGCCAACAGGTACAGCCATGCCTCGCCCGTCATTGTCGCGGTAGGTGTGTGCTGCGTCGCGCGGCTACAGTGTATGAGGGGGGTTGCGAATAGGACGAGAGCGTCGCTGGTCGGGAGCTCTGGGCGCGAGTGAACAGGTGTGCGAGGGATGCCCAAGGCTCGGATGCCGTCGTGTGTTTGCAGGCTGCTGCCGGGCTAGACGCGGGAAGTTTAGCTTGTGTGCGGGGCCTGGATGCGGGTAGCGATGACGTCGGACAGGCAACGCGGAACGCAGCGGGCAATGCAATGGCGGGCACGACAGGAGGGCGTGAATGCACCGGATAGCTCAGACTCGCAGTGTACGACTAAGGCAAAAGATGCTTGGATGACGTTGGGGCGGAGACATGCGAGCACGAGATGCTGCCCTGGACACCTGCCAAGCATGCCTCATTAGCGTCATGAGCCTCGCTTGTGCGTGATCGCGCGAGCGGACCAACACCATCCGCCTGGAGTCTCGTGTCATGGACGAGACATGGGCGCATTTGCCTGCCATGGTTATCACGACCAAGCCAAGCACCGCTTTCACATGCTGTTTCATTTCAGAGCCACCGAGTATGAATTAGGTGTAGTGCCGCATAGTAATACCATGACCGTCTGGGGGAGCCTGTGGTGGCGTCATTTCAAGTACAACATGCTGCCGCTCTGTCTTTTCCATCCAAGTTGCGCTCAAGCCTCCGCTTTCTTCTCCCCATTCGATTCTCCATTGGTGGCTTCTGGCATTGGCACTGGGCCGCCTGGCGAGTCGGGTAGCCTGGCAGTCAGCACCTCGACGCCATCCTCCGTTACAAGCAGGGTATGTTCTGCGCTCCGTCAATACAAACAATTAGAGATACATACACTCAAACTCACCAAATTGCGCAGTCAGAGAGCCGTCTTGCGTGACACTTGTCCAGTCGTCCGGCCATGTCTTGTCTCGGTGTGAGCCAACACTGATCATGGGCTCGATTGTGAAGCACATTCCTGGCTTCGCTTGCCCAACCGCCTTGTTCTTTGCGTAATGCGGAACATTGGGCGCGCAGTGGAAAAGCTGGTTGACGCCGTGTCCGCAATATGTCCTGATAACACTACAGTTCCGGCTCTTCGCATGCTTCTCGATGACGTTGCCGTATTCGCGGAAAAGCGTGCCTGGCTTGACAATCTCAATCGCCTTGTCCAAGCATTCGCGCGCAGTCTCAGTCACCCGCACAGCGTCTGGGTTCGCGAGCGCCTTGTCTCCAATGTAGTAAGTCTCGTTCAGATCCGCGTGGAAACCGCCGTGGTAGACGGAGATGTCGATGTTGAGAATATCTCCATCCTTGAGTACTCTTTGGTCGGGGATGCCGTGGCAGATGACCTCGTTGAGAGACGTGCATACAGACTTGGGAAAATGGCAGTAGTTGAGGGGCGATGGGTACGACTGCGCCTGTTAGCTGATTGCGTCGGCCATATCCTCCAGCTATCCTTACATCCCGCTCAACCGTCGCCTTGTGGACAATTTCGTCAATGTAATCAGTCGTAACGCCGGGCTTCGCAGCTCTGCCTGCAATGTCCAGAATCTCCCGCCCATATCGGCACACTTTGCGCATCGCATCCTGCTCCTCCTTGTTCAGGATGGTGATTTTATTCCGGTTGACAAACACTTGCTCCGATCGCGGAATTCCGTCTTTTGCGTAGTCGGGTAACCGAATGTGCTTGGGTACTTCTCGGCGAGGCGACAGCGGGTATACGGGTCGGAGCGCTCCCGTGTACGGGTAGGTAGGGAAGGGGTTGTAGTGGCCGGTGGCTGGATCCGGGTGAGAAACTACTTTGGGCGTGAAGATGTTGGAGAGAATACTACTTTGTGACTTGTGCACCTTCTTATGCTCACCCTGTGCAGCCGTTAGATGACTTGGTCTGCAGTCTGCGAGCCGTCTGGCTATATACCCAGTTGCGCTTGAAGCATTCCTGTGAGCAAAAGTAGCTCTCCTTTCCCAGTTTCTGGCAGTTTGGACATTGCAGCGAGCCGGCGTCGTTTTCGCAGTCTTGGCCCGAGCATTTGCGCGGGGCGTCTTCTGCCGCCATTGTGTGCGCCGAGGTTGGTCGTGTGAGAGGTCGTGGTGGTCAAGGACAGACGGCGGGTAGGGCCTGCAAGCTGATGCCGTCTCTAGCGCGCTGCCGTGCTTTCTGCGTAACGTGTGGGTTGGCGCAAAAAATAAAAATAAAAAAATCGGCTGTTGACTATGCAATGCTCACTCTCGCCTGCAACGCCGCGTCCCAAGGTCGGATTTCGTTGCTGGGGTCAGGTCTCGCCGAGTGCCGATCGCTGCTGACTAAGGGCTGCCCGCACGCTTGAGACGGCACTTGCCCGTTTGGGACGTGACGTGCCTCACCAGCCATACCTTGCCTTCTGGTGACTCTCTGACTTACATACACACGCGACGATAGCTTTTTCCCGCCTACCCCTCAGTTTCTCCCATGCTCGCTATGCTCTCAGTCTCCTCTTCTTTTCGTCATTTCACCCTCCCTTGAATCTTCTCATCACGCGACTTGCCGTTCTCGCCGGTAATCCTTGTCCAGTCTTTCACGCCATTCTCCAGCTGCCATGACACAAAAGGTGGTGGTTGTCGGGGCTGGGCCGGTGGGATCCCTGGCTGCTCTATATGCTGCGGTGCGCGGATTCGAGGTCCAAGTATATGAACTAAGAGCAGGCGAGTCTTATGCCTGCAAACCATCTCGGTTCTACTACGCATCCATGCTGACGCTAGGCAGATCTCAGAGACCCCGACACCATTCCGCTAAATTTTTCAAAGTCTATCAACCTTGCCCTCTCCGAGCGCGGAATCCATTCGCTCCGTCAGACAGGCCTGTCCAATCTTGCCGATGCCGTCCTGGCAGAGACGTTCCCCATGCATGGGCGCATGATCCATGTTAGGAAAAATGGCGAATATGTCCGCCAGCCACAAATCTACGATGCCCGGGGTCGAGTGAGCACAGCCGCACCATGCATACAGTGCTATACTGACTGCACCAGAGCCTGCTCGCCATGGACAGAACCGGCCTTAACAAGGCACTTCTTGACCAGCTAGAGGCTATGCCCAACGTCAAGCTCATGTTTAACCACAAGCTAGTCGGCGCAGACTTCCGCAAGAAGATTGCTTGGTTTGAGCATCGCCCCAAGTCTGCTGAAGAGCAGGGCGATGAGTTTGAAATCACGTTTGATCTCATGATCGGTGCAGATGGTGCTCACTCAGCCGTGCGATATCATCTGATGAAGTTTGTTCCAATGTACTTCAAACAAGAATACATTGACAAGCTCTGGTGCCAGTTTCATGTTCCTCCTGCGCCAGACGGGGAGTTTCGGATCCCCTCGCACTACCTACACATTTGGCCGCAAGATGAGTCCATGTTCATCGCCCTCCCGAATCTTGACAAGACATTCACCGCTACGCTCTTCTTGACAAGGAAAGGCTTCGAAGAGCTGGATGAATCTGGAAAGGTCGTCGAGTACTTTGACAAGAAGTTTCCAGGTGTGGTACCAGACCTCATTACCGAGGACGACCTACGGAAGCAGTACGCATCCAATCAGCATCTGCCTTTGATCTCCATCAAATGCACGCCGTACCACTACGGCAATTCTGGTGTCATTGTGGGAGATGCGGCTCATGCCATGGTACCCTTTTACGGCCAGGGAATGAATGCCGGACTGGAAGACGTCCGTGTCTTGTTCGATCTTATCGACAAACATCCCAACGACCGATCCAAAGCGTTGAGTGAATACACCAAAGAACGCACACCAGATGCGCACACAATCAATGACCTCGCGCTGGGCAACTATCGTGAGATGGCCAGCGACGTGAAGAAGCCGCTGTATCTTTTAAGAAAATGGATTGAAGAGCAACTCTACATATACATACCGAGCGCCGGCTGGGCCACCCAGTATTCGCGTGTCACTTTCAGCAACGTGCGATACTCCGAGGTCCAAAGGCTGGCACATCATCAGGCAAAGATACTTAACAGGGTTGTCGGCCTTGGTTTTGTATCTGCCCTTGTTTCTGCACTCTGGTTTGTGAGGTCTGGACGCGCCCAGCGAGCCAAGATGCGTATTCTGCTGCTTATCTCCGTCGTTGCACAAAAGCTGCAGAGTTTAATGAAGAATTAATTTGATCTCGGATGTCTACGATTTTGTGTATTTGGAGGATAAAGGTTGGGTCGCCATTCGCTGCCCTATATAATTTACATCACCGCTCATCCCAGACTGCAAAGAGCTGTTAGTTGTTAATATTACTATTTTGTCTCATGTCATGTTTCTGCTTTGAGGCACAATAATGCATAAATAAGACTGAAGTTTTACTTTGTGTCAATTCCCACTTTCTATTCTGATTGACTTTTCTCAGATTGTTCGGTCTTATCCACAGGTAACGGTGCGAATACTCTGCAAGTATTGTCGTTACAAAATCTCTCCAGGGTCATGGAAATTTACTGTATGATTGGATAGTATAATATGAATGATTCACTCTTACTAGCGGCTCAGACACGGTAGACGCAAAGACCTCAATATCGCTATGTTGCCGGATTCTTCTATTAGCAGAGGCACAACAAGACGATACATAGCTCAAAAGTAGGAGCAACACTTCTTCATTCAGCACTTTGATTCGTCGAATACATGCTTGAACTCGGTAATAAAGTGCTCGACATGGGTAAATGCTTGGCCATTCTGAACTTGAGCAACGTAAGGATCATCAACAGAATACCCGACATCCTGGACACCCTAGATAGGATTGGAAGAAGAGATGGCATGTTGTTATTCTTTGCCCAAGTATACCCATTTACGACATCTCCAGAAACTCAAGATGCTCTCAGCATCCCACTTTGAAGACTCCTCGCTAGTTGTGAATTTAGATTGATGTTTGGCGATCCAGACTCTTCATTGGTAACTTAGAAGGAGACCGCACATGGGTAATAACTCTCCGCGGCACATAGCACTCTTCGGCTCCTCATCCATGTCAATAATACATGTACTTGTTTAACCCACACTCTACATCCTATCTGGATAAATCGATTAGCCTCTCACACCCCATAAAGTATTACAACACCCAAAGTCTTGGACCTTCCAGAAGCAGAGGCTTTTCCAAGTATGAGCAAGGGTTATGCTGGTTGTAGGACGCTCCAAAATGGCAATCAATGGCACACACACACACACATATGTGGGACATTGGGCCCCACGCTTTCAGCAGTCGACGGACCTGGAATCAAGGGCATCACGCACGTAGCAAACCTGGATAAACTTGCACCTGATTCTGGTTTCTGGATTGCACGTGTGCATGCGTGTTGCTGCATGCTACTTTGGATCAAGGATCCAAAATAATAAAGACTGCAGTGTCTGATCTTGGCCGCTCTAGATATCCGACTCTAATTAACCTTTCTGCTCGAAGCTTTGTTGTGAACAGGGGTTATATTTCCCGCGTTTCTTGTATCAAAGTAACGGTGTCCATCTTTCTGCAGCTATAAAAGGAACTGGATATTCGTGTCTTGTTGGTAAAAGTCCAGACACTCAGTATGCGATTCACAAGCAGTCTTGCGACTTTATTCAGTCTTGGTAAGTAGTAAACTCCCCACAGTATACTCAACATCCAACTAACGCTGCACCCAGCCCAGGCATGGCCCGCATCAAACGAGCACAACCTAGCACCGCGCGCGGTAAGCTACGTGGATCCAGATAGCGGTTTTACCTTCTCCGAGACAGAGGCCGCAGCCACACTCTCCAGCAACATCATCTACCGCATAGCGCAGCCCGCAAACGTCTCCGCAAGCCAGCCCTACGACATCGTCCTCCAAGTCGTTGCATCCAGCTCTCTCGGCTGGGTTGGCCTCGCCTGGGGCGGCGGCATGGTCCGAAATCCCCTTACAGTGTCGTATCCCAACGGCCAAAAGCCGACCGTGTCCTCCCGCTGGGCAACGTAAGGCATACCCACATTCCCCTTCGTAGCTCCAGAATAGCGCTGATATATAGATTCACACTCATAGAGGCCACTCCACACCGCAACAATACCCATCTGCAACCTACACGCCGCTGTCCACGGGCAACAAGGCCAACAGCACCCACTGGCAGTTCACCGTCAAATGCAGCGGCTGCACCACGTACACGGGGGCATCCGGCCCCGTTCATATCGATCCCACGGGTACCCGCCGCTTTGGCTTTGCGTGCTCCCAGAGCAAAGTCAGTAATCCGAGTTCGACGTCTGCGAGCATTCCCGTGCATGATGTGTATAATTATGTTACGCATGATTTTAGTGCAGGGGCGAATCCGGATTTTGCGGCGCTGCTGGCGAAGAATGGGGTCTGAGTGGTGGCGTCTAGGGGAGGAGGAGGATAGGGAGAGGGTGGTTTGTATGTGAGTTGGAAGAATGTGTGTTTGCTAGAACTGGTTTACTTTCGTTGAATATAGGTTGTGTGGATTTGTCGATCATGGCGGGATGTGATGTCGTGTAACTACTGTCCTGTCTTCTTGTGTCATCTGAACTTTCTAAGAGGTACACCGATCTGTTTTGGTAGGAAAAATAATAGCAGATGTTGATTCAAAACTTGCTTGGACATCTGTGAGCGGCGTGTCCTGAGTACATTCAAGGACCAAAATGATTCCAGTCCTATCCATACGCAGCCGCTTTGCTGGGGATTTTTTTTTATAGAGATGAGGACTTATCTAGGATCACAGGTAGGCTAGTAGTAACCTGTAAGACCTGCAGGGGGCGTTGCGGGACATGAGGCTAAGGAGTGCGCCGGGAAAGAGGAAGTGGAAGTCGACTGAAAGTGAATGCTTGCATGCTTATTCATTGCAGCATCGAAAATAGTAGTACAACAGACAAGCACCACGTGACAGCAGCATTGTGCCGGGGTTTGCGCTACGTAATAGCCTATTCGCTCTTGCCGCCTACCTCCCTGCTGTGCTCCTGCCTCTGCGCCTGCCCACCTGCTATGCGTCTAATTCTCGACGCTTTTTTGCGACAAGTAAGATAACAACACAGTGAAGGCAACCCGCCACGAGGAGGAGCAGATAGTACTCAGATAGTACTAGCTAAACGTAAGTTGTGCGATAGTGGTGTGGAGCTGGGGTATTTGTGCGCCAGCCTGTGCGTCATCCGCCCTCCATCCGCCCACCACCAGCCCAACTATCATATACCATCTAACTAACAGTTGACTAGAGCTTCCGGAATAGTGTCTGCGCCGGGTGTGAGAGCTGCGAGACTCTAAGCCTGAACCTGCGAACTTGGCTCCGGCTCCTTAGCGACTTGAGCCTTGATGCGTTCTTCATGCATACGCTTGCGTCGGGCAACTACCAGGTACACGATTGAAACCATGGTAAAAGTTTGCACCAGTATCAGTGTAGCTTTCCCCCAGAACGTGTCCACATGTGGACGCGTCAGGACGCCGATTACGTCGTCCATGAGTGCGACATATGCCGTACGCCACAAGGTCCGGTCGATTGCACCGATAACAAACCCAATCACAGGCGTATTGTACGGTATGACCAAAGACACAATCTGACTGCCGAGGACCCACAGCAAAGCAACGAGAAACTCTGATGGCCGCTGTTCGGCGCCTGCCGGACGCTCGCCTACCAGGTGATCTGCGCCGAAGCTCAATGCGACATCTGCCAGAAAGAATAAAATATTAAAGCGTGTGCCATATAGGCGACCATAAGTTGCGAGGACGCCGACGCGGTAGATGGTGTTCTTGCGTGTAAAGCGGACCGATTGGCCGGGAGTGGGCTCAGGGCGGTGTATTGGATACACCACGGAGCTGATGAGATATGTAGGTATGGCGGCTGATATTACGAGCAGGATCATACGGTTACCGCTGTTATCGAAGTCGTATGACGGCGCGGCGCTTTGAGCGTCGTAAAGGCTGACGAGCACACCGGCGGCCAGGGGGGTATACAGATGGACATATCTGCGCCACCCCGGGATGTTGGCATCGGTGTCTGCGTCTATCTGAGAAAAAGAAGATTGCAGAACGTTGGGGTGCTCTGCTGGCGATGCAGCCATGCCCGCGAGGTTCATTGCGAATTTAGAAATAGCAGGGCGTGATGTGGTCGCATCTGACATGTCTTGGCTTGCACCTAGGAAAGCTTGAACGGCTGGGGCGTGGGTGGCCTAACAACCCTGTCGATCTCCTCCACGTGCACTCCACTCTCCCTCCAGACGCCGTCTCTACAAGTATGCGTGCCGGGCATATCCTCGATGACCAGGCGACAAGAATTACACGCTATCCATCCGCATATACGCTTGTATGCTCTACGGTACTTACGCTGCGTCCCAACAAGTCCAGCAGTCTCCTTCTCAGCATCCGATTCCAACGTCCCGTCAGCCATCACCCACAGCTTGCCGCGACAAGATTCACATGCTCAATCTCTACGACACGCAGATCATCGATGCAGATTGTCGTCATAACTGTGTTCTCAGAGCTTTCAATGCGCGTGAGCCGTTATGGTTTCAGGGTCGAGGCCGTAAATCGCGCATGCTAGTCACAGCAGAGCGGGGATCTTACCTGACCGCTTTACCTACCCGCGTGGCTGTGAGAGCAACGAAAATCGCTCATAGCTAACTACCAGCAGCCTAGAGGCTTACTATGACCAGGTCATAGACTTCTCTGTGCCGCATTGTTTGTCGCCTAACGTCTCTCGCGACAACACCTAGCTGCCGCGCAAATCTCCTGTCATGTTGACTGGTCTGAGGTATTTTGTGTCAAATCACGCCTGGCCTGCCCCGGACAAGGAAGGTCAAGGGGGGCGTCATCGGTGTTGGACGTATACGGCTATGCTTGCTCTACCTCGGAGTCGCTTGGCGCCTCCAAATGGACTCCAAAGCGCGTTCAGCGCCATCTTGGAAGTACCATAGCCACGCCGTGGAGAGCAAGGCATCTCCTTGCCGCGTGCTTGATATAAGATGAGCTTTTGACAACAAAAGCCATGGTCAGCTGCTTGGATTTTGGATTTTTCTTGTTCCTCTCATCCTTTTCTGGCACTCAGTAAAGCCACTCTGTTTCCTTTGCGCTCGTCTCCATGGACCAAGAAGAAAAGGGATTGCCTCGCATTCGCTTTGGGGAGATCCAGGCCCCAGATGATGACGATGGATTCATTCCGCATGAGCGCCGCCATGAGCGCCAATTATCACGGCGGAGCAGCATAGGCAGCATGTCAATTCGCAGTGTTGGTGGAGCCCGTACGGTTCAGCCAGAGACTGCGCTGCCTATTGTTTACCGCACGCTATCTATTGAGGTTGATGAGCGCCAACTTCAACAACAAGCCGAGTTGAAGAAGACAAAAGAAAAGGCAGCAGTTGGTGAATACGTCTTTCCAAAAGATTTCACCCATCATGTGCTGACCTCTACGTACAGATGTGGCTGGCCTGGACTGGCATACTTTGGAGATCCAAAACCTGTGCGAACGTCTGTCTGTGGACAATAAACGCGGTCTCTCAGATGACGAAATCAAACGTCGCATGAGCGAGTATGGTCCGAATAAAATCACTCCTCCACCTTCCGGATTGTTTGGCAAGATCATGGGCTACATTTTTGGCGGATTTGGAAGTATTCTCCTCATCGCTGGAATATTGGTCTTCATCTCTTGGAAACCACTGGGCTCACCCCCAGCGACTGCAAACTTGGCCCTTGCATGCGTTTTGATTGCTGTCTGGCTCATTCAAGCTGGTTTCAACGCATGGCAAGATTGGTCCACGAGTCAAGTCATGGCGTCCATTGGCACGATGCTTCCCGATCAGTGTCTTGTAATCCGCAACGGATCGCAAACCAGCATCTCGGCACTAGATTTGGTACCTGGAGACATTATTGTTATCAAGCAAGGCAACAAGCTCCCTGCAGATATGCGCTTCTTCGAAGTTTCTGAAGATGCCATGTTCGATCGGGCCATTCTGACGGGTAAGAAATGCGTGCATCGTTTCATCACAATGACTGACACATTGCAGGCGAAGCAGAGCCAGTTCAAGCCACCATCGACCATACCGAAGAAAACTACCTCGAGACGAACAACATTGGTATGCAAGGTACACATTGTGTTTCTGGTAGCTGCATGGGTGTTTGCGTCTCCACGGGTGACAGCACCATTTTTGGCCGTATTGCGAAGCTCACCTCCGAGCCCAAGACCGATATGACACCACTCCAGAAGGAAATTCTTCGCTTCATTCTCATCATCTCGGCCTTTATATTCTGTGTGGTAATTCTCATCATCGTACTTTGGTATGTGTGGTTAGCCGAGAGTTGCGCGGATCTATACTCACACTTTTCAGGGCGGCATGGCTGAGGAAATCGCATCCTAATTGGATCAACGTACCTCAACTTATCGTGAGCTGCGTTTCGGCCGCTGTTGCTTGTATGGGTGTCCAGAGCCTGCACCCTCTGAACATACACTGACATTCTACTCCCAGTCATCCCCGAAGGTCTACCCATTGCGCTTACCACGAGCTTGACGATTGTTGCCAACATGATGCGCAAGAACAAGATTCTCTGCAAGTCGCTGAAAACGGTCGAAACGCTGGGATCCGTTTCCGTCATTTGTTCGGACAAGACCGGCACTCTGACAAAGAACAAGATGGTGGTGACTGATATATGCTGCGGTGACAAGACGTATACTGTCGACGAAGCTCGCAAGGAAATGGCAGCCGCGGACTTTCCTGATGGCAATATTCCAAGGCCCGTTGCCATCGATCAGCTACGCATTGTCGGCGGTCTTTGCAACTCTGGTGAATTTGACGCTGCGACAATGAACCTGCCTATCGCTGAGCGCAAGATCAACGGCGACGCGACTGACCAAGCTATTCTTCGCCTCTCCGAGTCTTTTGGCCCAGTGAGTGATTTGCGGCTCGAGTGGAAGAGGACGTTTGAGATCGCCTTCAACAGCAAGAACAAATTCATGGTGCGATTGATGGTGCCCGCCAATTCATCCGATGGAGACAACACTGGGTATGTATCAAATTTTCCTGATCTTAGCATGTCTGACTGACATTATCAGCCTCCTCATGGTCAAAGGTGCCCCTGATATTCTCCTACCACGTTGCGATTTTATTTTGAACAAAAAGGGAGAAGAAGAAGCCTTTGGAAGTTCCCAACGCCTCTGGATTGAGGGTATCAAGGATGCCTGGTCTCGCCAAGGCAAACGAGTTATCCTCCTCGCGCAAAAGTCCAACGTTGCATCTGTTGCCTCTCAAGAAAAGGAAGTTCTGGCCTCCATTCGTGACGGTCTCACACTAGTGGGTATCGTTGGCATTGTCGATCCACCCCGCGATGAGATCCCCGAGGTCGTACGCATTCTTCGAGGAGCTTCGATTCGCATCTTCATGGTAACTGGTGACTTCAAGCTTACTGCCCAAGCAATCGCCGAGGAGTGTGGTATCATCTCAAATTCGGCTCTAGTTGATGACATCGGCGCGCTCGATCGGTACAACAAAGCCACTGACAAGACAAAACAAGCCATAGTGCTGAGTGGCCCAGAGCTCATCACATTGAACGAGTGTCAATGGGATCAGCTTTGCGATTACCAGGAGATTGTCTTTGCCCGAACAACGCCCGAACAGAAGCTTCGTATCGTCAAGGAATTTCAGGCCCGAGAGAACATTGTCGGTATGACCGGTGACGGTGTCAACGACGCGCCATCGCTCAAGGCTGCTGAGATTGGAATTGCTATGGGTGGTGGCTCTGACATTGCCATCGAAGCTGCTGATATGGTTCTCCTTGACTCTTTCGCCGCCATTGTCGAAGCTGTCAAATACGGACGCCTTGTCTACGACAACCTCAAGAAGACCATTGTATACTTGCTTCCAGCTGGTAGTTTCAGTGAGTTATGGCCTGTCGTCACCAACGTCGTGTTTGGTATCCCGCAGATTCTGTCTTCGTTCCTGATGGTAAGGAAACCGCAGTGTGAGATTCTAAAACGCAAACTAACAGTCCCAGATTATCATTTGCTGTCTTACCGATTGCGCCGCCGCCGTCACACTTGCATACGAGAAACCAGAAGCCGATGTCTTGCTTCGCCCTCCCCGCAACCTCAAGAAGGACAGGCTTGTCAACGCTCGGCTCATCTTCCATGCCTACTTCTTCGTCGGTCTCCTTCAATGTTTCCTGGCCTTTACGATGAGTTTCTGGTGGATCCAACGCAATGGCGTTCCGTTCAGCGCCATGTTCCTGAAGTTTGGAGACTACGGCCCAAATTACAGTACGGAACGCGTGAATGAGCTCGTGAACCAGGCTTCCAGTATCTATTTCGTCACACTAGTCGTCATGTAAGTTGAATTCTGAGACTGTTAGCAAGAGTAAGCTAACATTGATAATAGGCAATTGTTCAACCTGCTCGCGACACGCACCCGGCGTCTAAGTGTCCTTCAGCAAATTCCAATTTTCAACAAGGCGACACAGGTATATAGTCTCTTTTCTCACATGAAATGCTCTCTAACCCGTGAACAGAATCTGTCTCTCTTCCCTGCCATGATCTTCGCCATTGTTGTCGTATTCATCTTCTGCTACATTCCCTCGTTGCAACGGGTCATTGACACAAGAACCATTGCAGTTGAGTATTGGTTCCTTCCCGCTGCTTTTGGCCTAGGCTTGCTTTTGCTGGACGAAGCAAGAAAGTACTGTGTACGCACGTGGCCCAACGGTCTGTTTGCTAGGATGGCTTGGTGATGATAGTACCATTTTCTATCTGAATTCTGGTGAGCAATTGGCTCATTTCTTGTCCTTTGTGTATAAACCAGGCGGTATGGCGTGCAATAGCGATTTGGCGTTATGTGGGGGGGCTGTCTGATGAAATACTGGCCGCTCGGTTCCCTCTTTGGTGAGCGAGGTCTTGAATTGTAATTTAGTTTTTCTCAAGTATACCCCGGTTACAGGATTGAAAAGCACATAATAGAGGGCATGTTTTACTATTCTGTTTTTTTTTTCGCAATCATTTCTCGAAAAATACTTTCTTCTCTTTCTTCCCACGGCTATGCGGTGCTCCCCACATCTTACTCATTCCCAACGTTACACGCAATAAACCACATATCCCCCTTTCCCCACAATATTCAGCAGCCCCCCCCCTTTCCCGGCCCATTCTGCATGAGACACCCCACATGAATTTAAACCGCATCATGCACACGCTCCGGAACAAAAAAATGTGGCTAAAAACGCCCCTCCCCCTTCAAGTGCCGATGATTGCATGCAAGGATAGAGCCTGTCTTGAGATACTCGTAATATACCGTTTCCCATTCCAAGAACCAATCTGGCCAGGTGAACCAGCCCCCCCCCTTATGTCTAGGTAACCCGGCTAAAAGTAGCAGTTGCTGTGGTTGGGTATGGTAGAGTAGGCGAACTTAGATTGCTTTCCATTTCAGTTTCGCTTAAAGCGCTGGAAAAGAGAGGGGATGATTTTCGGTGCGGTGGAGAGAAAGAGAAGGGGGTACATCAAAAATGTGATTTCAATGTACATCACCCCCGAGTGAGTGAATGATAACCCTCATTATCTGCCCCATAGCTAAGCATCCTCGACATGGCACACATGCCCAGACTGCTCAAAACATTTCGATATTTTTTGAACAAAGAATCTCGAAATCCCAAACGCCTGGAGAAAACGCATGACAAGTTTGGCTATCAATTCCAGCCCAACACACACATACCACACGTGCCATGACCTGATGTGGAGGCATCTAGTTCCGGAAGGTGAGAGAACCCACGTATAAATACCCTGATTCAACGCAGTAAATCCCTGTCGAATGAGGAATTCGGTGTAACCATTCAACCCAAGAAAAGCAGCGGGTGTACTAAGTAGGTGTTATATACCCCACACCAAATAATTATCAATAACACCATTATGCAAAGAAAAAAACACACGAAAAAAATACAATTTTCCCGTCAGAACCCCCCCCCCCCCCACAAGGCCTTCATACTACGATATGATGAGTCCAGCAAGAAACACATAAAAGTCACAGTACCCTTTCCCCTAACGAAGCCTGCAGTGTGGTAGGTGCTCCAATGGGCAATGCTGTGACCGCTTCTAGCGCGCGTCGTTCCGCAGTTTTTGCCGTTTGATATATATGGCAAGAGTTCCGATGCCGAAATGAGTATCAGAATGCTATCGTGATGTTTACAATCCTCTCATGGCCATGCTGAGACTTTGAAAACGTAGAACGAGGTGCATAGCCACGAGGTGCATAGCCAGGTTCTTCAAATCAGACACGAGAAATGCTCAGTGCAAGTTATGCTGCCATCTGAGCAAAGCTAAGGTGCCCAGATCCTTGGAGCAATACAGTTTGCAATCCCCTCGCTTTATCTGGCGTATGCAATATACACACGGCAATTTCCAACCTTCATCCGAGACATCGCAACTGTCACACACCAAGCATCAGGCACGATTTGACACTTACCTCCCAGATCTGCAGCAGCCTTCCATGTGCTGACTTGAGAGTTTGGTTGATCTTCATGGGACGTGACCGAATGATTTGACGAGGAGCGTTTGGCCACCCAGTGTTGATATTCCCTTAGATTAATTCAATATCCCCCGTCAATGAACGATGGCGACTCCCGTGGTCCGGCAGTCATCCTCGAGGCATTTGCCACCCCATGCCCTGGCTATGGCGCCTCTCTTATAAGAGAAAATCTTTTTGTATACCCCACATGCAACCTTTGCTGTACCTTCACGAACCACCGTTTCTTACTTCCCGTTTTTGTTGTTTGGCGCAACCATCAAGCCACGATGAAGTGGACTACCATGCTTGTCGCTCTCACGGCTCTCGCCAGAGATGCTACAGCCCAGAACAACATGCTGCGATTCGCATGCTCGCAGCTGGTCGTCGAGCGAACAGATCCTCTCGTCCATCCCGGGATGAAGTACACTCCCCATCTGCACCAGATAGTAGGAGGCGACGCCTTCAACATCACCATGGACCCATCCAACGACCTCGCCAAGATGTCAAAGTGCACATCCTGCAGCTTCGTTCAAGACAAATCCAACTACTGGACCGCCGTCATGTTTTTCAAAGCCAAAAACGGGTCTTACATTCGCGTGCCACAGGTACACAGCAACTCCATCTCAAGCACACACACACACACACACACACACATGATGACTGACGGATAACTCCAGATCGGAAACGGCGGACCCCAAGGCCAGCTCATCAACGACGGCGGCCTAGACGTCTACTACATCCCGAGCGGCAAAACCACCGCCTTCGCCAAAGGCTTCCGCATGCTCGCAGGCTCCGCCACCAACACGGACCCCAAGAAGGTAAAGCTATCCAACATCTGCCACCGGTGCTGGACCTCGGCCTCAGAAAACACATTTGTAGGCGGCGCGCCCTGCACGGGCTCCGACACCGTCGAGATCCCCAAGGACCCCAAGTGCAAGCTCATCCGCCAAACCATCATCTTCCCCGCGTGCTGGGACGGCAAGAACCTCGATTCGCCCGACCACCAAAGCCACGTCGCGTATGGCCAGGGCAGCGGCGCCAACGGCGGCGGAGCATGTCCGTCTACCCACCCCGTCAAGCTGCCGCAGATCATGTACGAGCTCATGTGGGACGTGAGTAAGTTTGCAGATAAAAGCCTATGGCCAACCGATGGATCGGATCCCTTCGTGTACGCCATGAACATCGGGTACGTCCCCCCCCCTCAAGTCCATCTGCTTCCGTACCTCACTAACACTACCCTCTTCACTGCAGCGGCGCCGCCGCCCACGGCGACTACGTCTTCGGCTGGGAAGCCGACTCGCTGCAAAAAGCAATGGACAATGCATGCAATCTGAACAATGCGTGTCCAAAAGCTGGTCTCACCACGCAGCAGCCCGCTCAGTATAATGCTTGTAAGAAGACGCAGCAGGCGCCCGAGAAGGTCGATGGATGTGAGTTTTTTTTCTGGCAAGGTGTACATATGGGGAGTAGACTGACACTCGTTAATAGGGCTGAAATCTTTGCCGCTTGGTGAGCCGATGCTATAAGCTTCGGTGAGCATGCTCTTGGACTCGATGGGGCGTGTTCGTACGATATACATGTTCGTTCTACATGGTTGTATGTATTGTTGGAAGTGCCGGAGGGACAGATGTATTCTTGCCTAGCACTCGTATCATTATTATTATTATTTTTTCTCTCCCCTTATTTGTAGTTAAGAATATCGGACTTGAATTTCAACGCTTTGCTTTAAGATTGAGTGCTTTTTTTCTTTTTTCGTAAAAAAAATCTTCGTCCGTTTCGCATCAGCCCCAGTTTCTTTTTGGTTTCCAAAACTTGGACTGATGACCTCGACAATCTGCCCTTATCATCTTGCAATATCAACCCCACTCGCGACGTGACGACAATCTTCAATATCCGTTATTCAGCCATGTTCAGACAGGCTGTTGCCTTTCCACTGGCTATAGATAAACAGCCTTGGTCTCGTTAACATGGGTGGTGGTGCTGGAGTAGTACAATCATCACAGTCGTCAGAATATCATCAGAAACCGTCAGTCATGATGTTCACTCGCCATGTCTATTCTGTGTACCAAGAAGCGAACACATGTAGAAGCGCTGGGTGCGTTGATACATCTACAACGGGTCTTGTACTTCTATTCGCTTCACGCTTTTTGTTCCACATACCACAATCACAACGCTAGACAAACATGGCAGCGACATCAGTGTCATGTATGTAAGATTTCCATAACTTCCCAGTCGATACCTCTCACAACGGCCATTTCAACCAGATACAGAATAATGAATATTTTTCTACCCCTCCAGCAATACGCAAAAAACCATGCAAACCAACCTCCACTAAGCAAACTCGACCACATTCTTCAGCGTGCCCACATGCGGACTAACATTAACCTCGACGACATCGCCGGGCTTCAAAAACTGCGGCTCCTTCATGGCATACCCGACACCCGCACACGTGCCCGTCATGAACACAGTGCCCTTCTTGAGCGTGGTACCCTGACTGCAGTACGCGACGAGCGTAGGGATCTTGAAGCACAGGTCATCAATACCCGAGTCCTGTCTTAACTGGCCATTGACAATTGTCTTGAGATGCAGCTTGCTGGGATCAGGAATCACGCTCGTGCTCACGATCTGCGGGCCGAGCGGCGCGTACGTGTCGAAGCCCTTGGAGAAGTTCCATTGGGGCACTGTGCCGGCGAGCAGCGGGTCGCGCTGCAGCTTGCGGCTGGACACGTCGTTGCCGGAGAGGTAGCCGCCAATGTAGCTGTAGGCATCTGCTTCAGACACGTCCTTTGCGTCGCGGGAGATGATGAAGCAGAGTTCGCCTTCGTAGTCGGCTTGGTTGTCCTGCGCAATCTTGGGGATGACAATGGGGGCGCCGTGGTCGGTTAGGCACGTGCTTGCTTTGATGAAGGTAGAGGGGTATGGTGGCAGTGTGCGGCCTCCTTCTTGGACTGTTGGAGATACGTCAGTATATACATGCAACGTGAGTCACAACGCCACACATACTGTGCTTGATGAAGTTGAGGCCTATACACCGGATGATTGGTACTTCATCCTGCGTCACGGGACCGAGCAGCTTCTTCACGGTAACCTCTTCGTCTGTGACTTTTGTCGCCGGGTCGAAGATATCGTTGTTCTTGACATCAATGACCTTTGCTTTCAGGCCTGTTTGTTCCGTGGTTGTGCCCACGTCAAAGTCTGGTGAGGGTAGGATTGGCTGGCCCCGCAGCTCGCGACCGTCTGTCGCAATGAAGCGGATTAATCGATCCCAGTTTGGTGCCATTGTGATGAGGGATGCTGGATGCAGTAATTCAGAGACCGAGACCTCAGTATGGAATTGTAGTAGAATTTGTATGCAGCCGTCCGTCTTGGATATATGTTCTCCCGGGCGGGCGACGTAACGCAAGGTCGGAAAGATGCGGGGCGCTGCGGAAGTGACAGGGGAAGCTAAAAAAAAATGCGGGGCATTCACGGTATTAACACCAAAGCACGAGCTCACCGGAGGTATTTGTAGCACCGCTTTCTAGGAAGTGACTTTCTCCATCTTTGCCGAGAGTGGATTCTTGATATCAAATCTGACTCTACATGGCAGTGCTGACACCCGTCTAGACTCTGTATCCTCAGCTCCCTGACACGTGCATGCTCTCTCCCTCCCATATCTTCCATCTAGAGATTCGACCTGGCCTTCCTCTTCGCCTCGAGTTCCTTTCTCTTCATATCAAATCTCTTGACCGGCGCACCATCTACAATGCGGTCTGCAAGCGCACTCAGGGCATCAGTCACAGCCATCATCCTCGAGCTCCTCAACGGGGCATTCTGAAGCCTCTTCACCTCCATCATGGCCTTGCCATCATTGACCTCGAGCTGGCCCTCTAGAAACTCAATGACCTTCTTCTGGAACTCGTCGCCGGTGGCGTCCCACACATAGTTGTAAAGGCCCGCGTCGACCAGCTCTTTTGCACTGAACTTGCGGCCAAACATCAAAAAGTCGTTTGCACGGTGCACTCCCATGGACTGTGCAAGCATAGTCGTAGAGCCCTGCTCCGGCACGAGAGCGAGCGAGGAGAAGGGACATTGCAACCAGGCTGTCGACGACGCCAGAATAATGTCAGCCACGCCGGGGAACCATGCCGAACCACCGCCCACCCCCGGGCCATTGAGCGCAAGAACAAAGACCTTTTTGTGGTCAATCATCTGCTGCATGAGCTCGCGAGCTAGACGTCGTTGACTGTCAGTATGTGCCTACCAAGCAACGATTGCGGGAAACATACAAAGGCTAAACCGGTTCATTGTCGCAATCCTCTTGGCCGTCTCATCCGCGTACTCGACCTTATCCCCAAACATGGTGATGTCAGCGCCGGCCGAAAAAAAGCGCCCTGCTCCCGTCAAGACAGTGAAGACGGTGTCTGGGTGCGCATCGAGCACGCGCAGCGCTTTCACCACGTCAGCGAGGAGATTGCCGCCAAATGTGTTGAGCACCTTGGGCCGATTAAGCTGTTGCACGTGTTAGTCGTGTGTCTCTTGCAAGTGCATACATACAATGTCTATGTCCCCTGCTACATCTGCAAGACCAACCCACGCAAATATACATGTAAAAGAAGAGAGAGAGTGAAAAAAAACATACCGTTATAATCCCAATCTGGCCCCGAATCTCAAACTTGATATCCGTGTAATCCGCCGACGAAGTCATGATGAGAATATTCTGGCAATCTTCCCTCCCCTTTGTTATTGTTTTTGGATTCTTTTACAACCAGAGAAGGTATATTTCAAACAGCCAGCTCAGCAATCAGACAGACAAACAAACAAACAAACAAGTAGGTATATCAAGCTGAATCCAAAAAAAAAGCAGAGCCAGATATCTTCTTTGCATCAACCTCCCAGTCTTCGAATAAAAACAGAGAGTAATCAAGGTAAATAAGAGCCAAGCAGGCCCTGTTCCGTCGTCGTTGTCGTTGTTTGTTGTTTGTTGGCGTTACTCGCGGAATACTACTCTGACCTCGGCACGGAGGCGGGGAAAGCCAGTCGGATTCGGGCGGTGGAAGTAAGTTAAGGCGACTAGCTAGTCAGGGCTGATTGAGGCGCTATTTGGCTACAAGCATGTATGTATGTATGTAACAAGGACGCTGGCACTCGTTCTTTTTTCCTGGCTAGCGGAAGTGGACGGGGGGTTCGAGGCACAGATGCACGGGGGTTGTGTTGCAAGTAGGGTCTGAGGTTGGTGCTTGCGCGTGTTGGTGATGGCATGGTATGGTATGGGGGGAAGCTCAATCTTGTCTCGAGTGCTAGTTACCTCGGCTTGTTGGAAAGAGGAGGAGGGGGGAACGTCATGTCAGTGATGCGCGCGCGCCAGAGTGCTGGACCCGACGGCGGACTACGGACACAACAGTTTCTATCGATGTAATTAAAGCCATGTTAGAGGAGATTAGTATAATACACGTCTATGGTCTAGCCTTCAAAAACACCATGGTTCAGCTCGACGCCAAAGTCCTTGGCCATAACTCGCATGTGTGCTTCAATATCGTCTTCCATGCCGCCGCCCACGCCAATCAACTGCTTGACTTTACTCCATAGGAATACCGCATCGCTGAGAGCTAATACACAGCGGAAGCGCAGATGCTGGATCCAGTTCCTCCAGCGTTCCCTCGCGCTAAGATCCTTGCTCTCGATCAGTGCTCGGCTTGCCCACAGACCCGTGATCTTGATTCGGTTGACAGGAGAACCCAGGAACTGGTTGTTGCCCTGAACAATGCGCAGGTTGCGGCCGATAAAGAGCAGTTCGCGTGGAAATTTGGCTTCGTCACCGAGGATGAGTTTGATGGCATCACGGCCTTTGGCTTGCATTTCAAAGGCACGCTCAGCTTGGTCCTTGCCCTTGCGTTCGGACTTGAGCACTTCGGCAACGCTATTGTCGCCGCCTTCATACGGGCGCATGAGCGTCGCAGAAGCAAAGATGTCGGCGTGCTTGACGCCCCAGCTGGTGACAATCTCCTCGATGGTATCATTGTCAAAGGCAAGTAGCGATTTCCAGAACAGCGCGTACTGAAGACGGAACTTGGGGTTCATGCGAATGTACAGCCCATGATCGATGAGGACGACTTCGGGTTGTCCATTGGGCAGACGGCGTACAAAGATGTTGCCCGGATGGGGATCACAGTGTACACTGCCCCACAAGAACATTTGCGCTGAGAAAAGGTCGACAATTATGTTCATAGCCGTCTTGAGCGAGACGCCCAGACCACCCTTGCCGTCCTTGCCTCGCCAGGAGTTGCGGTCGGGCTTGAAAAACTCATGTCTCGTAGCATCTTCTGGAGCATTCGTGTCAATTGCAGCATCGTGTGGAATGGGCGGGAGCGGCTGCCCGCCAGCGCCTGGGCTGCCCCGACGCCATCCTCCTTTCCAGGTGTTGGTGATGCCTTCTTTGTCCCATAATCGTACACCCTCTATCCACTCGGCCGTCATGACTCGCTTGCTGGAAAGCTCATGGTACACCTTTGGGACGTACACTCTCCCGTTGAGTCGCGGCTCCTCAGCTACCAGCCGCTTCATCTCCACGGCGTTGTCAGCTTCGTTTTCAAAGTCAGTTTCGAGCATCAGGCGCTCCGAGACATACGGCACCAGAGTATAGACGGGAATCCCGAACCACCAGGTGTATACCTTGGAGACAACCTTGAAGGCCCAGAGATCCCATCCGACTTGCTGTGCAATCTCTCGCTTCTGAATCTTGATGGCCACCTCCCTTCCGTCTGCCAGTCTAGCCCAGTGTACCTGAGCAACACTAGCACTTGCTCGCGCAGTCTTCTCCATGACACCCCGGCCCTGTTCTCTGGTGAAGCCAACGCCAAAGACCTCCTCGACACTCTTGCCAAAATCTTCGCGTATGACGTGCTCAACGTCCCGCCACTCATTCTGCGGCGCGTCGTCGAACATTTGCTGGAACATCTTCTGAAACTGTGGGGGCAGAATGGCACTCTGCATCGCAATGGCCTGGCCGATTTTGAGGTAGAGTCCGCCATTGTGCCGCAGCAAATCGAAGACTCTCTGTACGTTTCTCGCATGAAGGTCCTCGATACTGTTCGCAAGCGGCGGATGGGCGCGAAAGTTGATTTTGTAGTCGATTCCAATTACGAGGCCGGCCTTGAAGGTGCGCAAGCTGCGAGTGATGGACGAGGCGTTGAATTGCCGATCAATCGCCCACCCAGCACCGAGCACTGCAGAGACGGCGACGAGGCGGCGCACCCATCTCCGGCGCGTCAATGGCGGCTTGACCTTGCGCTGCCTGGGTTTTGGCAACTCAGCTGGATTTGGCGGGCGTAGGGGCTCCCAGGCTTGAGTCTGTAAGCGGCGCGCAAGTGGTGCCTGGTACAATCGCGTGGGGGAGACGCCTGACGTCAGCCATGGTAGTGTTGCACGATGGGCATGCGCTCTCTGGAGAGCAGACAGGCCATGTATCATGGCTGTCGAGGGCTGTGCAGAAACGACACGGGGGGAGTGTGGTAAGACATGAGGAGCAAGTTGCAAGGGCAGTTTATCTTTTGCGCATAACGGCCGTCAAGTCATGACGGCATTTTCGGTGCTGCCAATCAGCCGCCACACTGTCCGTGCACCAAAGGCCATGCAGGCGAACCAGAACGCCCCGCCAGGCTGCCGTTTTCGAGTTTGAGATGGGCGCGGGAAGAATGCCGCCTCTCCCGCCAAGCTGGCCGTGTACGCATTATTCCAATATGGTGTTGCGCGCTGGGCAAGAGATGTGATCCATTGTCTGCTTGGCCAGGACCACCACTCGGTCTGCACTGCTCAAGCAAGCTCTTCCTGCAACGCATGCATCTTCTCCACAGCCTCGAGGTCGACGTCCCAGGTCGTGGCCAGCTCGCGTACTCTGTCCATCCACCTTCTCGTCACAGGGTGCTGGGCGGCGACCTCTTTCAGCGTAGGTTCATCCTCGCTGCCCACGACTCCCCACTTCCAAATCCCCTCGTCGTCCACCCATTGGCGTCCGAGAAGCTGCTCGATGGCCAGCTCTCGCCGGGCCGTGTCGTAGATGCTCTTGGCTTCTTGGTGCGCTTTTTCGTCATGCCCCTTCCACGCCGCGGCAAAGCCGTGCAACACGCCGAGCACGTAGCCTACGTACAAGCCCAGGTTGGCTCCCAGTGCGTAGCCCTCGTCGAAGCCGGCCTGCACATACTGGCCCTTGCTGGTTGCGAGGCCTTCGCGGTACGCATCCGTGTCGAGGGCACGCTGGCGAGAGGGCAGGTCGGAAAGAATCTCGTGGCGCCGGTGCAGCGGGGCAGATGCAGAGAGAATTGGCGACGAAGGCGCGGAACCGTAGATGTCGTCCAGGGCGTCGTCATGGGGTGGCGTCGGAGGCGCCTGTCCCGCGGCCAGCTGGGTTGGGTCCAGGGTGGGAGACAGATTGTCGGGAGCGTCCATGGGGGACGAGGCGCTTCTGGCACAGAACAGACAATCCGAAACACAGATCGAGTCATGGTGGGAATGTCTACAAGGTGCGTGTGCGAGGGAGGCTAAGGGCCTGGTGGGGCCTAGCGCCGCTTTGGGAGAGGCGTCGACGATCCTATTGGATCCCTAGACGTACATGCAAGCTGCGCACAGCACATAACCTCCCTGTGAAAAGCGGAAGCCTGGCGGGCCCGAGTCTGGGATTCAGCATGGCGCAAGAATGCATCTTAGCCCTGCGCTCTTACTAGCGGGGTCCGGCCCATTGGGTTTTCCGCTACAGACGGATATGATGGTCATGGTCTCGGGAGTCGCGAGGCACCTTGTTGAGACCAGGTACCGTCGATCCGTGTACAACGAGAAATCTGCAGACGCCAATTAAACCAGTGTGTACGGAGGTGCCTCACAAAAGTTTT